CTCCAAACAGGCCTGCAGGTGGTTTTCTGGGATCTCCAGGGCCAGACCAATACACTGGGAAGCAAGGTGGCACAGGCCAGGCCTGCGTCAGGCGGGGGCACGCGCTGTGATTGAAAGTTACCACCTGTCAGAGCTTCATGGGAAATCCGAGCCTCCCAGTCCAGGGGAAAGTGTTGTACCAACTGGGCAGTAAACAATGCTCTTCGGGTGGCCCCGGGCTCTTGAAGTGGGGACAGAAGGGGGGTGGAAGGAGGTGGAAGGCGGGTAAGGGATTTGAAGTGGGGGCAGAAGGGGGGTGGAAGGAGGTGGAAGGCGGGTAAGGGATGTGGGGGGCGGACTGAAGAGCTGGGGGCTTAATTAAGGGCAGCCCTGCCTCGGGAGTGAGCCGGCACCGCTGGAGGAGGACACAGCTCATAGCCCACAGGCGGAGGCCCCACAGGTAGGAGAAGCCCTGGGCCCCTTTCTCAGCACCCCCTCCCTCTGCCAGCCCCCTCCCCACCTTCCAAGAGCCAGAGCCTCCAACAGAGCTCCATGGTTAGAGAAATTCGGGACCTTTCTAATCCTTTCCTCCACTTTATCAACTCTCCTTAGATGCCAGAGGCCCGGGGCTCGGCCCTGGGGTGTGGGGCATCTTGAGATTGCCTCCAGAGTGGCCTGCAGGTGGCCATCCCTGGGGAGGGCCCAACAGGCAGAGCTGGACTTGGGAGTCCCAGCAGTCCTGTTGGGCTGGGAGGCTGACTCTGAGCGGTGGAGAGCGGTGTCTCCTGGCGGGGGTTGGGGCAGTGGAAGCCTCAGGACCACTGGAAGACAAACTGGGTGACAGTGGGCCGTGGAGGTCATCAGCACGGGGTTTGGGATCTGGGTACCCGGCTCTCTTCTATCCTCCTGGTCAGCCAAGGGATACAGGAGGAAGGAGGTGGGAGCTGTCTGCAGTGCTGCTTTGGACACAAAACAGGGCTGGTATGAAGTCTTCCTGGGGAAGCAAGGAGAGGGAGAGTAAGAAGGAAGGCAAGGAGGGAGGAACTTTCAGGAAAGGTCTAGAAGAAAGTGGAACGCCTCCTCTCCCATTTCTGCCCCCCACTGGCGGGGTCCCCCTCACTGCTGGGGAGGCTTTGATGGGGCACTGGCCAAGGAGCTGCAGGGGGCAGCACCTTTGGCACAGGCTCTGGCCCGGCCATCAGGAGACCTGGTGCGAGGTACTCTTTGCCATGAAACTCTCCAGTGACTTCAACTCCCTGGGCCTAATCTGTAAAGTGGGGTGATAACACCTGTTCTGAGGGGGTAGCGTGAGGACCAACCAGGTAAAGAGGGCACTGCGGTAGAAGCTGGAAACCACTGTGGAATCGTTAATGCTGAGGTGGGTGGTGTTACCCCGCTTTCTCAGTATCCCGAATTTCTTCACTCTGTCTATTTATGACAAGCCCAGAGGGTGGAAAGCTGAGGTGATGAACACGCAGGATGGCTGAGGTGTGTGACTGTGTGTTCACCTGCCCTTCCCCTCCACAGCCTGAGAGTATGGCAAATGGAGGGGGAAGGGAAGTGGGGGGGCTGTTCCATTGTGCTTCAGCCAATTCCAACTACACTTTGGATATGGAAAGGGCTCACTGTCTCACCAGCGGCCAGTTCTCTTTGCCTTGCTTACCAACAAAATGTCCTTATCAGGTCCGGACCTTAGTCTGGCACTGGGGTGGGCAGAAGCCCACATGCACCCACGTGTGCCAAGCACACTGTCCTGCCAGACACACCTCTAAACACTTACGTACGTTAGCTCCCTTAGCCTTCTGCATCCCTATGGGAGAAGACGTATTTTTATTTCCAGGAACCAAAACTCGACAGGAAAGCTACCTTGCTCAAGGTCACAGAACTGATAAAAGGGGGAGCTGGGACCCCACCACACAGAGGAAGACTCAGGAAGCAGTGCTCTCCATCTCGACTGCAAGCTGCCTTCCAGAGGAGGAGGTGGGGCGGGAAGGGGTGTGAGTCCTTTAGACCAGTCTTTGCTGCACCTTTTCTGCTCAACACCGCACTGGGTGGTGGATGCCCCTTGGGAAAAGCAAAGCAAAAATAAATGAAAACCAAGAAACAAAGTTCATAGTCAAAAAGGTTTGGGATAAAGAGAGTTCAGCAAAATTAAGGTTTCTACTGTGAGCTCTGCGGAATCTAAGAGCTGATGAAGTTGTATGCTTCAAAAGAGTAAAGAATAAGCTGCTTCTGGAACAGTCAGGATATTTCCCCTGTCCCAGCCTCTATTAATACCTTGGGATACCCTCCTTTTCCACAGAATACAGTTTGGAAAATCTGATCGAAACCAGCCCTGTCATCTTCAGTGCACACTGAGGCCCGGAGGGCAGCAGGGTGGGGGGGGGGGGTGCAAAGGGACCGGTTCTGGTCTCTGAGTGACCAGGAGCCTGGGGTTGAGCCAGCTACACCACCTCCTGGCTCCTGCTGCTTGCACCCCAACCCCGGCTCCTGTGTCCCCTCATCTGCTAATACATTGCTGGAGCCCCTGAGCCCTGGAGGGGCGGCGGAGGGCCAGAAGTGGAGGACTGTGTGAGCATCTTTACAAATCCCACTTTGCTTCCCAGGAGATGGTGGGGGCACCAAATCCAGGGACCCCACTAAAACACAAATGGTGGCAGGAATATAAGCCAGGCCCTCTTCTGCCTGTCTTCCTGACTCCTGTCCTCTGTCCCATTTACCCAGGTGCCCTGGGCACTGTCACCAAGAACGATGGCACTACAGACGACAGGGGGTATTTTTAGGCAGTGACAGGAGAGTCTACTCCTCTTAATGCCTGAGTCATGCTCTGAACCCTATGGAGATTGTTTCCCTTGTAAACACACCCCAAGAAGGGCAGGGAGGTGGGAGAGCCGGCCCTGTGCCCCCACCTGCTTGTGTAGTTGCTATAGCATATGCAGCACTTCGCTAGCGAACCCCAAGGTAAGTGTCACAGCCTTCCTTGGAGGGCCAGGAATAGGGAGAGCACATTTCTATTCTCCAAAGGAAGCCCTTCCCTGCTCAGGGCACCCTCTTCCTGGAGAACTGGCGTTGGCAGGACTGACAGCCACCAGGAGACCAGCTCGCTCCCAGTTAAATGTAGCATTTTACTCCTGTGATTTAGCTACAACTGGATCACCTGTGTTCTGCTTTCCTAAATGTCTTTCTTTAAATTACCTTATTTCTGAATTCAATACATGTATTTTTATTTTTTTAAAGATTCATTTATTTATGCATACAAGAACTGGGGTGCAGGCCAAACCAAAGATGTGGGGGTAAGAGGATTCACCAGAGACAGAGCGGAGAGCAGAACAGGCGGATCTACTGAGATACACTGCAGAGGGGAGCAGTTGGCAAGACAGGAGAGGTCTGCTGCACCATGTGGGTCACCAACCTGGCCGGGGATCGAACTCATGCTGCAGTGGCTGTGGATACCTTCATAGGTTGCGTCTTAACCCCTTGTGCCACCAGGGAGGCCCTCGATACATGTATTTTTTTTTTATTAATTAATTAATTAATTATTTATACAAGCACTGGGTACAGTCAGAAGCGGGGGAGGGTGAGAGAATTCTCCAGAGCCAGAGCGGGGAGCAGAGCAGGCAGAAGGACCGAAGCACACTGCTGAGGGGAGCAGCGGGCGGCAGGAGAGGTCTGCGCGCCATGTGGGACCCTTACCCATTGGCCGGGGATCGAACCGGCACTGCAGAGGCTGTGGGCAGCTTCACAACCCAGCGCTCAACCACTGCACCACTGGGGAGGCCCAATACATGTATTTTTAAAGGAAATAATTAAGTCACTACTGGAAATGGAGACTCAATATCACTTGCCAGAAATAGAAATTTACTGTAAAAATAAGAACAATGAAAATAAAAGTGTTATCAGGTCCCATCTGGATACTCCTACCTGCTCTGGGTGCTGAATCTGAGGCCAAGCTGTCTCCATTCAAAGGGGAGAGCAGCCATAGGTATTTCCAGAGGCAACTATCAAATTGTAACCACCTCACCGGCTTAATCAAAAGGAGGCATAATCATTGAGAAGGTATTACATGTCCCTGGGGGTCCCAGAGGACGCCTGAATCCATGGTCAGTGAGAAACCCTAGATAAGTTTTCACACACATGCACACACACACACACACACACGCACACACACATGCCTGCAATAAAATTTAATTTATAAATTAGGCACAGTAAGAGACGAACATCAATAAATAATAATAATAATAATAATAATAAAAGGGAACTATGATAGCAGCTGTAAAATAAGCTGTGTGTTATACTCACTCTCCCTCTCCTGTATTCACTCTTTCTTTCTCAAAATATCATTGTGTATAATGTGTAATATTTTCAGACCTTGGTTGACCAGGCAGTAATTGAACCCAGAGGAAGTGAAATCACAGATAAAGGGGGGGGGGCACTATATATGACCTCAATTTTTTTAAAACCAAAGCTACATCTGGGCCTCCCTGGTGGCGCAGGGGTTAAAGTCTCCGCGTTATCAGGCTGTCACCCACCACTGCAGCACGAGTTCGATCCCTGGCCAGGGAGCTGACCCACATAGCGCAGCAGACCTCTCCTGTCTCGCCCGCTGCTCCCCTCAGCAGTGTATTTCAGTAGATCCACCTGTTCTGCTCCCCACTCTGTCTCTGGTGAATCCTCTCACCCCCTGCACCTCTGGCCTGTAGCCCATTTCTTATATGCATAAATAAATAAAATAAATCTTAAAAAAAATAAATAAAATAGAAGACAGAACAGCAATGTAAAATAAGAATTAAAAAAAAAAAAAAGCCACACCTGAAGATTGCTGTTAGGTGTACACCACCCAACATCAGGTCAAGGCCCTAACTCCCCATCTTAGGGAAGCAGTTCTCTGTTCCCCCATTTCACCACAAGGAAAGTGGAGGTTTGGGTCACACGTCCAGTGGTGGGGGTCCAGGACTGACCCACAGACCAGCGCTCTCTGAGGGCGGGGCGACACTGGGCCTGCTTGTCTTCTCTTTCCAGAAATGGAGCAGAAGGAAGGGAAGCCCTCTGAGGATGGGACCGCAGTCTCCCCATCCACAGAGGCCCCAGAGAAGCTAGGAGGCTCTGCAGAGGAGGAAGCCCAAGGCACAGGGGGGAGAAACGACAAAGAAAACCCTCCAGAGGGGGCCAGAAAGCAGGAAAGAGCACCGGGGAAGGAAGACACTTCCGCTGAATCCCCAGGAGAAGCAAATGGGTTGGATGAGGTCAAGGTGGACTCCAAAGAGGAGGCTGAGCTTCCAAAGGAGGCTCCTCCGGAGATGACTGATAGGAAAGAAGAGGCCAAAACTGAAGCCAAGGGGGCTAAGGGAAAAGAGCAGGCCTCGTTGGCCGACTCTGAGAAGCAGAAGACCGAAGAGAAAGAGGCCAAGCCTGGACCTCAGGAGAAAACCGACATGCATGAGGAGGCCAAGGCTGAGCCAAAGGTCCAGACTGAAGCCAGGGAGGCTGACGGGAAGGAGGAGGCCACGAGGGCCTCTCAGGAGGACAGAAACAAGACGGAGGAGCCCAAGGCGGAAGCCTCATCTGCTGGGGCACATGAGGTCAAAGCTGGCGCTCGGGACACGGACTCGAAGGAGGAGATGGTGAGTGAGGCCAGGAAGAGGGGCGCAGCCCCTGTAGTGTCGGGCCCCCTGCCACTGGCAAAGCAGGTTCCCTCCTGCCTTATTTCCTTGGGAAACTCCAGTCTTCCTCCCACTGATATTAGGAACCTGGGGTGGGGATGCAACGCTGTGCCCCAGGCTGCCTTCCAGACCTTTCCGAAGCCCTCACAAAGCCTTGGGCAGGTGTTTGTGTGACTATGAGCCCTCACAGATCATGTTCATTCCAGAAGTCAGCAGGTCCTAACGAAGAACAGGACCAGGGTGTAGAGAGAGAATCAGAGGACAGAACCCCGGGGAGTCCCAGCTCCCCCGAGGAGTGGCCCGAGAGCCCCACAGAGGAGGGCATCTGCCTCAGCCCAGGTGAGCGGGCGCCCCGGAGCCCACCGGCACTGCAGGGGCTAACCCGAGGGGAGTGTGGGAGCATGCAGGGGTAGCACAGCTTCCCTGCCTCCTGCTCCTTTCCTCCAGATGGGTTGAGTCCAGACACCGCAGCTTCTGGAGAGAGCAGTCCTTCAGCCAGGTAATGTCAGCCCCCCGGGACAGCCCCCAACTCCCCACTACTTGCTCCCTACAAGGTCTACAGGTTGAAAGCCTCCTCGGGTCCTGACTGTGAGATACCCCAGGCTTCCTGGCTGTCATGCCCTGGTCCAGGGCAGCACTCAGGGAACCAAGAACCAGACTATGGAGCAGAGGGAGTGTGGTCCCTCCCCACCCCATCGCTGAAGCCTCCTCTTCCTGGGGGCTCCTCAGCTTGCAGCCCAGTGTGGCCCCATGGGTCAGCATCATGCACAAGTGCAGGCTCAGGAAGCCCCAAGTTTAATGACTCTGCCACTTAGCAGCCATGTGACCTTGGCCACGTCACCTGACCTCTCCTCCCGTGTGAAGCCAGCACAGCAACTGCCCCTACCTCTGCAGAGTGTGAGGCTCAGCGACGCCTGCGTGTAAAGCAGCCAGCCAGCACGGTGCCCGTGCGTGGTGGGGCTGGGAAATGGAGAGCCTCTTTCTTGCTATTCCAAGAACACGTTAGAAGAATCTTCCTTTATGCTGAGCTGAAATTCACCTCCAGGTGATTTTCTTAAGGAAAGAGCAGCAGTGAATAGTCACTGAGCACTCAAGCAGGCACACCTGGGTTGGTAGGAAGTCTCGTTCCCATTTGACAGGTGAAGAAACTGAGGCTAGTAGCCATAATATGAGAGTCCCAAGATCACACAGCATGTAACAGGCAAAACCAGGACTCAAACTCAGATCAGATCTGGCTCCCAAGGTTGGACATCTGGTAAAAGGGCACCAAGAATGGGTGCCATCACTTCATGTGCCCCCTTACACCACCCACCCGCGGCAGCGCCCTCTGCCCCCACTCCCTGCCCTGCAGTGGCTGGTGCCCGTCCCTCTCATACCTCTCTCGGCCTTTCCATGTAGTGAGTCTTCACCCAGCGATGTGCCCCAGAGCCCCACAGAGCCCCCGCAGGCCCAGGAGAAGAAGAAGGAGAAGGCCCCTCCAGAGCGCAGGGCGTCGGCCCCTGCGCGGCCCAGGAGCACCCGTGGGCAGAACCGCAAAGCCATCATGGACAAGTTTGGAGGGTAGGATGCAGGCCGGGAGCTGCTGGGTGGGTCTTCCAGGGCCTGTGGGGTGGAGGGCAGGAGGACGCCTGCTGGACCTGGGGCTGGGGCTGCTCCCTGACAGGCTGGGGCGCGGCCCCCTGGTCCCTCCCCCACAGGGCAGCCTCGGGCCCCACAGCTCTGTTCCGAAACACGAAGGCGGCAGGGGCGGCCATCGGCAGCGTCAAGAGCATGCTGCTGGAGTGGTGCCGCGCCATGACGAGAAACTACGAGGTGCACGGGGTGTGGGGGTGGGGGTATCAGGGGCACAGGGGTGGCCAGAAGGTGGGGTCTCAGAGGGGCCGAGTGTAGGCCCTGGGGCCGTTTCACTGAGAACTGGGCGCCTGCAGCACGTGGATATCCAGAACTTCTCCTCGAGCTGGAGCAGTGGCATGGCCTTCTGCGCCCTCATCCACAAGTTCTTCCCCGACGCCTTTGACTACGCAGCCCTGGACCCCACGCAGCGCCGGCACAACTTCACCCTGGCCTTCACCACCGCAGAGTAAGCCCCAGCTGGGGTGGCAGAGGGGAGCGGAAGGCCTGGGTGCCCAAGGCCAGAGCTGTATTGGCCATGAAGGAGGGGTATGGTGGAGGGGTATGGTGAGGTCATTGGGGGTCAGGGAGAGGCTGTGGCCACCCATCCTTGCAGCCAACAATTCTTGAGCACCAGGAAACTGTTTCAGGACAGGGTAATGGTGAAAATGACAAAATCCCTGCCTGCAGGCAGTTTGCAGAGCAGAAGCACACACAGGAAATACAGTGGAGGCAGATGTCCTAAAGAGGATGCAGGCAGGGCAAGGGGTAGAGGACATCTGGGGGCCTTGACTACAGCCACTTGCTGTCAGTGGGGTGGTCTGGCTCCTTCACCTCACTGGGCCTCCACAGGCTGACCTCTGAAATGGACAAGATGTTTCTCCTCTTTGCAGAGTGATTGTGAGAACTGAGTGAAATAATTAAATGAAGGTGCTCTAACAGCACCTAACCCAGGGCAAACACTTCAAAAGAAATCTACACTGCTGTGCAGTATAATGAATGATAGCACAGCTGTGATCGTTACTTTATCTTTTAAAATTTATTTATTTATGCATACAAAAACCAGGGTACAGGCCAGAAGTGTGGGGGGGGTGAGAGGATTCACCAGAGACAGAGTGGGGAACAGAACAGGCAGATTGACTGAAATACACTGCTGAGGGGAGCAGGGGGCAAATCAGGAGAGGTCTGCTAGGCCATGTGGGTAGCTCCCTTGCCGGGAATCGAACTTGTGCTGCAATTGCTACAGACAGCTTCATAGGTTGCATCTTAGCCCCTTGCGCCACCAGGGAGGCCCATGATCGTTACTTTTCACTTCCAAGGTTGCAGTGGGAACCATGGCTGAGGTCCACATGGCTGGGTGCCAGAGGTGGTGGGGTGCTGGAGAAAGGGGTGGTACTAGACAAAAAAGGCAGGAGGAGTATGAGGCCTGAGACCCAAGAAAGAATCTGAGCGTCCGAGGGCTGTGGCTGCTGGGAGGCAGTGGAGACTCCCAACACCAAATCACCAATGCCAGCCTCAGCCATGGGCCTCCATTTCCGCCCACCAGGAAGGGCTGAGCATCCCCCAGTGACCTCGGGCTTCCCAAGGAGTCATGCCAGGAGCATCCAGCTCTGTCCAGCCCCGGGGAGCGGCTCCTGGGCCCGGTGAGGATAGGACTGTGAGATAGGGCTACGCGGAAAGGGAGGCCAGGGAGGACCCCAAAGGATCCATGGGTGCATTTCTAAATCTCTGAATAGGGAAGAAGTCCCTGGGGATGTGAGCAGAATCTTGGCTCAGAGGTGCTGGACCAATCTGCGGGGCGGCCTGCGCAGCCCCTTCCCCTCTTGGGCCCCCGTCCCCGCAGCACTGATTGAAATTGGTCTGGGCTTTTCAAGTGGTTTTCCTTTTTGAGTAGATTTCCTCAAGTGACGTATTCAGTGATCACCACATATAGCGCAGATTGAAGGGGACCTTTTCATATTGGAAAGGGCTCCCAGAGCACGCCAGCCAGCGTCGGACCCCTTCCTAAGGTGGGCCCTGGAGCTCATCTTTAGGGCCGAGGGCTCCAAGGATGCCATTTAAAAGCCACAGGCTGATGGTCCCTTCTGGCTTAATATTTCCTGCACAGGGCTGGGGTGAGTGCCCTGGGGCGGGGTGGGGGGAACACCAAGTGCTGTTCAGGGCTCAGAAACACATGATGATGACCAGCCACGTGAATGGTTCTGCTGGGTACTTTTCTTGCTTTACATTTGATGCTCGCAAGCCCCTATGCTGTGGGTACAAGCAGAGAGCGGGGGTGATACCCTGTCTGTACAGGAGGGCAGTGGCAGAGCCGGGATCTGGAAGTGAAACTCCCAGCTGGGACGAGGGCTCTTCTGTGAGCACCAGAAGGGCGCGTGGGCACCCCCCAGCCAGCAGGCCCTGGACTTTAGGGCCTGGGTCATCCTCCTACCCCTTGTAGCTGACTGGCCTTGGTGCCGAGCCAGGCGGAGCCATAGGAAGCAGAAGAAATAAAGTGAAGGTGACAGGCAGGGGAAAGGGAAGGGCGTGGGCCGGATGCATGGGATGAGGGTGGAGAGTTGAATTTGAGAAGCTGAGTTTGAACCGTGACCCTGTCCTACCTCTGTGACCCTCTGCAGCTGACTTTACCTCCCTTAGGGTTTGGGGTGAAGATTAAGTATGCAAAGTAAGGGGACCCCTGCCAGAGCCATCACACCCCACCACCCCGCTGAGGAACCCTCCCTCTGATTCCCAACAGCCCTGGGTGAGCAGAGGAACCAGCCAGAGCTCAAGACCCCAGGGGACTCAATCAGCAGTGCAGTTGGAGGGGCCCGACCCCACTCCCCGCGCTCAGTGGGAATAAAGCTTTCTGGGGCTCCCGTGTTAGAGGAACAGCACCTCACCTGCGTCCTGCACTGGCGGTGGGGAGTTTGTGCCATTCTTTGAAATCCTGCGGCCTGTGCTCCTCCCCCAGCTCCCAGGCCAGCTGACTTGGGTTTCTGCCCAGCTGTCTCAGCCCTAAGAGAGGATGTCCGCTGGGACCCAGGTTTCTCCTGCTGCCAGCGCCCATGGTGATTTGGCACGCTGGGACTGCTGAGAGCTGGCTTCAGGGCACAGATGCCACGGCACCAGGCAAGCCTGGGGCTGAGTCCCAGCCATGTCACTCACTTTGACCTTGGGCAAATCACCAAAACCCTCTGAGTCTCTAGTCCTTCTACTGGTTGAGGCTGGAGAAGAGAAAACGAGAAGCACTTGACAAGGCACTGGCATATGGTAGCGGTTAGCTCAGATTATCAGCCTCGGCAAAGCCAGGAGCAGCACGTGGCCCCAGAGAGCAGCTGGGAAGCTACCAAAAAGGGCTGCTAAGTTCTCTACAGTTGCTCAAACACACCAGGTGCTTCTGCCTCTGGGCCTTTGCACATGCTGTCCCCTGGCCTGGAATCCTCTTCTGCCAGATGGGCACATGATTTACTCAATGTCAAAGAGACCTCTGCAAGTTCCCAATTTGAAAACATCCACCCCCTCTCTAGCACAGGAACAGACCCTAACACCTTCCCCTGCCTCATCTTTCTCCATATCCCCCCTCACTGTTACTGTCTCTTCTGCCACAAGAATGCCATGACATGTGAGGGGGGAGCTTTGGTCTTGCTCAGCTGAATTCCCTGCTGGCATAGCAGGCTCTCGATAAATACAGGAGGCTGGATGGAGATGAGCTGGTACAGCTGCAAGCTGTTGCTCTGGCTCAAATCCTGTCCTTGTGATTCCTTCTGAGGGGCCTGGTCTGGATTCCAGGGGACACAAACATGCATGTGGAAGGGTGGGGGCTGACAGGACTAATAGCAGAGGGGACCACACCCATGTGAGGACACGCGGCGCAGTGAAAGCCTGGGCTGTGGGGTCAGACATGCTGAGTTGAAGTCCGGACTCGGTCAGCTCAACTAGACATGGGGTGGCTGGCCTACCTACCTGTAGAACCAACCTACACAATTCTGTGGGCCTCCTCCTCGCTGGGCTGCCCCTCACCCTTCCCCTCTGCTCCTCACCCGCCCCACCCCTGCCCTCAGGAACTTGGCCGACTGCGCCCAGCTGCTGGAGGTGGATGACATGGTGCGGCTGGCTGTGCCGGACTCCAAGTGCGTCTACACCTACATCCAGGAGCTGTACCGCAGCCTCGTGCAGAAGGGTCTGGTGAAGACCAAGAAGAAGTGAGGAGCTCGCCGGCCCCAGGAGCAGGGGCTCAGCTGACCAGCCCTCCCCAGAGGCTCATGCTGACCCGCAGAGGCAGCAGAGCCAGGGCTTGGCAAGGGCAGTGGCACTAATCCTAACTGCATTAAAGTCCTTTTGTAAAACCCTGCCTGGCCCCTCTGTGCTCCCTCCCTCCCCTGCCCTGGACCCCTCTCTCTGGAATAATAATCCCAGGGCAGGATTCCTCCCTCGTCCTGCCCTTTGCAACAATTGTGAAAGACATCTGGGGAAGAACATGGGGCTGGGGCCCACCACTAACCAGCTGTGGGACCCTGGGCCAGTGAGGTCACCTCTTTGAGCCTCTGTGCATACCGTCTGCAAGGGGGTGTGGGGGTTCCAGCCTCCCAGAGCTGAGTGAGAGAATGAGATGGGTGCCACGCCTGGCCCCGCGCCTGGCACATGTGTGTTCAACATGGTGTGGGAAGACTCTTCCCTCTTCCCACACTTCTCCCGGCTTAAGTAACTCCAGGGCAGGGTTTAGAGTAGAAAATTGGCTGGAAGGCTCACCCAAGCTTGAGGAGCAGGGCCTGGGGGTATTCCCTTGACTCAAAGACACCTCACATTCTGACTCCTGACAACCAGTGGTTTTCCAGTAGCTCAGAACTACTGTAAACAGAAAGTTCTTCTTTCTGGTTAGGTTAATCCTTCCAAATCTGGCTGAAGTTTTGCCTTGTGTTTGTTCTCCAATGGCTCATCTGAGATGGTTATAATCTTCCGCTAACACTCTTGTGTGGCTTGGTCAGTCATCTGGGCTGTGTGCCGATGAGAACAGCCCATGAGAAGCACAACAAAGGCAGCCAGCTTGGCGCTGGGCAGGAGGTGTGGACAGGCAATCGGTGGAAGTGCTTTGGGCCTCAGGGGCCTCACCTATGAAATGGGGGAGCTGCCCCCCAAGACACATTGAAGACCCCCTGTCCAAGGATGGCCTGACCCCTCATAGCAGCTTGGGCCACAATATTTGGGGGCTCCAGACCCGGTGAGCTACCAGCTCATGGGAAGCAGGTTAGTTACCCCTTTTCTTAGAGGCCAGCTAAAGTGCCAGCCTCTTTCTTTTTTTTTTTTTTTTTTTTAAAGATTTATTTATTTATTTATACAAGCACAGGGTACAGTCAGAAGCGCAGGAAGGTGAGAGAATTCACCAGAGACAGAGTGGGGAGCAGAACAGGCAGACTGACGAAGTACACTGCTGAGGGGAGCAGCAGGCGTGGCAGGAGAGGTCTGCGCACCATGTGGGACCCTCGCCGGCAGCCGGGGATCGAACCGGCACTGCAGAGGCTGCGGGCAGCTTCACAGACTAGCGCTCAACCACTGCGCTACCAGGGGAGGCCTTGCCAGCCTCTTTCTGATGAAACCACCCCACCCCTTCGCCCACTGCTCAGCCAGACCACAGAATTCATCTGTGACTTCTATGGCTGGGTGAGAACATGGTTTCCGGGCTCCTCCCCCTGGAAGCTGGACAAGACACTCCTCTCAGCCTGAAGCCCAGGAACCAACAACCCAGTAGACTGCAAAGGGCTTGAAACCATGGAGTCCTATTTCTGGGACGGAGATTAGAATCTTCATTCTATGCTTCTTCAATGGAAAAGAAAAGGTTCAGCACCTACCCCTGGGCCTGTTATCAGTAAGTTGACTGCTTTCAATCACTCAATCAACCAAGCCCTCAATTATAAATATTTTTAAAGATTTATTTATTTATGCCTATAAGAGCTGGGGTACAGGCCAGAGGTGTGAGGAGTGAAAGGATTCACCAGAGACAGAGTGGGGAGCAGGACAGGCAGACTGACTGAAGTACACTGCTGAGAGGAGGAGCAGGAGAGACAGGAGAGGACTGCTGTGCCATGTGGGGATTGAACTCGTGCTGCAGTGGCTGTGGATAGCTTCATAGGTTGTCTTAACCCCTTGAGCCACCTGGGAGGCCCTCAATTATAAATATGACTCCTCCACGTGCCCACCTGTACTCCCCACTGCCCCTCCACCCCTGATGCTGGAGCCCTGATTCGGGTTGGCAGCTGGGCTCATCTGCAAGCTGGGCTGCAGGTGACCTGTCTCTCTAAATGGAGCAATTAGTGAGACCTGGATTACCGTGCCGGAGAGCTGCAAACCTAAACCCCCCGGCTCTGGAGCAGGGAGTGAGGAAAACACACAGATGGCCAGATGCACCTGGAAGTGGGTCCACACAAGACACACATACCCCAGACCCCCATCACAGCACATGCACATGTGTGTGTGTGCGTGCACACACAACCTTCTTAGGGAATGGAGCACAAAAAGTGAGCTCTGTACCCCCCTCCCCTGGTCTGTAAGGCACGGCCATCCACCACGGAAAGAGAAGAGGGACCAGAGCAGAGAGGGGTCAGAGGAAGAATCAGGAGGGCCGTTCCACTCCAAACTGGAGGGTGTGCTTTTTGGCATTCTCGTTGAACAGGTCAGGATTCTCTGCCAGTTCTTGGGCAAGGTTACACCGCATGGGATCCCCCTGCTCAGGGTTATTTACCAGCTCATTGAGGAACATCAGGACTGGGGAGAGAGAGCAGATCACCATCAGGGTGAGAAAAGATCCTGGGAAGGAGGTGATAGGGGCCCCACTCCCACACCCCCTGAAACTCTGCATTTACCCACACACACACCCCCACACACAACAAGAAGGTCCCATCTCTTAGGCTGACTCTGCAATTAAATTAACACCCCTTGTTTTCTTGGTGCTGTTGTCCAAAGCCCCGGTTGCTTGCATAGAGGTTTTCACACGCTGCTCCACAGCTCCATGGATGTGGGTGAGATAAATAGGTTTTCTGGGTCCCACTCCCTTTTCAAGGAGAACCAGCTCCTCTCTGCTTAATATTAGGATTCCAAACAAACTTCTGTCTGGAAAAAGAGGGCTCTGGAGCTAAAGACAGGAAACCACTATGACCCTCTGGTCTTTAATCCTTTGCAGAGGCCTCTGGGAAGTGGGTCAAGGCAGTGGCCCATCTCCCAGACAGCTCACCCCATCTCCCTGAAGCCCATCCCCAGGACCATTCTTCCCTGGCCTCCTCCACCCCCACTTCCCAGGCTAAGTTGTCCTGAGCTGTCCAGGCACTGGGCAGACGGCTTACTGAACATGCCCAGAGGCCCAAGAGCTGAGCTGCCCTATGGGGTTGCTCTGAGCCATGCCCGATTATCTATATAAAGTAATTAAACATCAACACAATTAAGAATCCAGATCCTCTGTTATATGAGCCACATTTCGAGTGCTCAAGAGTCACATGTGGCTGAAGGAAGTGGACAGTGCCACACCAGAACATTCCACAGCTGGAAGTTCCGAGGCAGCTGAGTACATCCAGGCCCAGCTCTCATACCAGCTGGAGGACCTTCATGAGCCGGGCACTGCAGCTCTCACAGGCCTCAGGATCCTCATCTAGTCAATGGGGCCAATAGAAGCAGCTCATGGGGGTGCTGGGGGGTTCAATGGAGTTCTGAGCTGCCAGTGCTGGGGTGCTCAACAAAGTAGTGGGTATTATCATTATCAGGTCAGTCCCCTCAGCTGTCATTTAAGTCACTGAGGCCCAGCGAGGAACAGAAACTTGCCCAAGGCACAGTGGTCTTCATGTCCAAATCCTTCCCTCCACAGACTAGCTGCTTCTCTTTTTTTTTTTTTTTTTTTTTGGTGGGACCCTCGCCGGTGGCTGGGGAATGAACTGGCGCTGCAGAGACTGCGGACAGCCTCGCAGCCCAGCGCTCAACCACTGCACCACCAGGGGAGGCCCATGCTTCTCTGTCTTAGGATCCAGTGGCCTGGCTCTGTCACACCTGCCCAGGCATCAGAACAGAGGAGGGGCAGACAGCCCATCCAAGATCTCAGAATCACCCCTCTTATCTGACAACAGGCTCAGCTGAGACTCACCACTTTTATCACCTTCCTTTTGGACTTTTCTGACCCAGAATCACCGCCCCCCCATATCTAGTGTGGATTTCTCCCTTTAGGTCAGGTCCAAACCCACCTTTACAGGCCTTAGTGCAAACCTTCCAGTTCTCGCGGCTGATGATGGACAGGCAAACTTGTCCGTCAGGGTCTACACTGGGATGGTAGATCTGGGTGGTGAATGTCACCTTGGGTGGCTTGAAGGGATAGTCATTGGGGAAACTGAGGCATAGGCCAAAGGCCTTGAGATTGTAGGGTGATCGCTCCTGCAAGAGAAGGGGTCAAGTTCTGTACCGAGGCATAGCTGTCTCCTTCCAGGGTGTTGGGCTGGTTTCCCCTCCTCTCCTGGCCCGAGGTATCTCCTGCTCCATTCCTAAGAAGGATCAGGAACAATAACACCAATGGTACCTGTGTTTCTTGGGAGACCAGGCCATGGGTTCATGAAGAGTGGGATCACAAAAGGGTACAGGCCTGGAAATCAAACAAGGCAGATCCCGGCTTTGGGGGTATGACCACAGTCGATCTGCCTCCCATCTCCAGGCCTCAGTCTCCTTGTTTGAAAAATGGGCCAATTTGATTGGATGAGCCTAAGGATCATTACTTAGCTAGAAAATGGAGAAAATGAGGAAATCCTAAGAACTCAAGGACTTAGGAATGTGGAAGGGTGCAGCCGCTGTGGAAACTTGGCATGGTGGGTCCTCAAAAGAATAAAAGATAGAATGATCGTATGATCCAGCAATTGCACTGCTGGTATTTACGCAAAAGATTTAAAAACAGCGACTCAAACAGGTATTTGTGCACCCATGTTCAGAGCAGACCGAGTCACAATAGGAAAAGGTAGAAACAACCCAAATGTCCATTGATGGATGATGGACAAAAAACATGTAGCATGTGCAGATAATGGAATATATTACACAACCTTCAAAAGGAATGAAATTCTGATACATGTCACAGCCTGGCTGGACTTTGAAGACATTATGCTAAGTGAAATAAACCAGGCAAAACAGAACAAGTATATGATTTAATTTATGTGAGGAACCTAGAACAGCAGATTCATTTATATAAATAATTAGTTACTAGGTAAAAGGAGGCCAGGGAGTCAGTGCTGAATGGGGACAGCTGTAGTTTGAGAAGTTGAAAAAGTTCTGGCTGCACAACAATGTCACGGAATTAGAAACATAAAAATGCTTAAGATTATAGATACTGTTATGTGTATTTTACCATGATTTTAAAAGGGGGAGGGGACTGGACTGGCTGAAGTTTGGCGGCTGTCTGGAGCTGGCAGAAGATCCCCCAGACTCCAGCCTAAGAATTTCCAGAGCACCCACTGTGTGCTGCCTATGCTAAGGGTGACATGCATTAGCCCACGCGCAGGCAGAGTGAGGACATCGAAGGTGCCCAGGTAAGTGGAGTCCTTCAGTCCAGCAGCCCACAGGAGATGGCAGCAGCGTAAACAATGACTTAGGGCCCCCCTGGTGGCTTAGGGTTAAGTCTCAGTGCTATCACCACCACAGCCTGAGTTCAATCCCCAGCCAGGGAGCTAATGCACATATGGCGCAGCAGACCTTTCCTGCCTGGTCCTCTGCTCCCCTCAGCAGTATATTTCAATAGATCCACCTGTTCTGCTCCCCACTCTGTCTCTGGTGAATCCTCTCACCCCCTGCACCTCTGGCCTACACTCCTGTCCTTCTATGCAAAAATAAATAAAATATGTTTCTAAAATAATAAATAATGATTTAACTCAAGCATGTCTCCATTTTTCTGGACAACAGAAAAAGTCCAAGAAAAAGACAGCACAGCCCAGGCCAGTGTAAGATGGTATGATCTAAGAATCCACAAAAGGCTCCCTTCATATTCCAAAGAGCTGACACAAAACTCAACTGTTTTAATTTTCATTGTCAAGCCACCAAAGCTGTTTAGATGAATTTCCCAAGGAAAATATCACCGATGACTAATCATTAGATAACAAATGAGAGATCCTGTATTCAGGTCCTTTGGAATACTTATTGCTCTGGAAGGAAGATTTTATCGAGATGATATCTTATAATAAAATATAAAGAAAAATCAGCACAATAGAGATGAGTTATCTGTGTTGTCACACGGAACAGTGGTGTTCTGAAACATGATCTTTTTTTTTTTTAAGAGGCATGTATTTTTATTTATTTATTTGTTTATTTATTTGTTTGTTTGTTTGTTTATATATGCACTGGGTACAGTCAGAAGCGCGGGAGGGTGAGAGAATTCACCAGAGCCAGAGCGGGGAGCAGAGCAGGCAGAAGGACCGAAGTACACTGCTGAGGGGAGCAGCGGGCGGCAGGAGAGGTCTGCGCGCCATGTGGGACCCTCCTCAGGTGGCCGGGGAGCAGCAGGGGATTGAACCGGGCCGCAGAGGCCGCGGGCAGCTACGCAACCCAGCACTCAACCGCTGCGCCACCGGGGAGGCCCTGAAACATGATCTTTAAAAGAAAGCAAAATACATGCTAGTTTTGAGGGAGCAAATTCTACCTACTGTGGGAAATAGGAGGTTTATCCTTCTCTATGATGGAGTTCTAGAAGGTGTGTTTCCCTTCTGTTTTTGGATGCTGTTTGTCTGCTGAAGCTCTTGTGGGGGGCTTGAGGGCTAGTGGTTTGAAGAAGGGGTCTCCTCCTACATCCAAAAGTCTTTCAGCCTGTCATCAGCTGGCCTTGACCTCAGAAGCAATCAACCAGAAAGACCACCACCACGGATAACCTCCAGTTAAAGCAAAGGCAGGTAGAGCCTTGCCTCTACCCTCCCTGCACCAGCCCTGACCTAAGTCGCTCCAACCCAAGACCAAGATCCCCACGGACACTCACGGGCAGAAGGAGCATGTGCCACTCTAAGATGTTGGCGTCGTCTTCGGTCAAGTTCCGCAGGTATGGGGGGAGATTCTCCTGAAGCTGCTCCAGCTCCTGCAGGGGTGCAGTAGGCAGGGCTCAGCCCAGTCTCCCCTGCTCAGCCCTCTCCCAGCACCTGTCCCAGGTCCCAAAAAGGACCCTGGCCAAGGTGCATCCCCATTTACTGAGCACTTAAGAGTGTATCGAGCTGAGGGCTCTGAGTAAGATACCCATTTTGGCGCTACCCACTCCGCAGGCACTAGGTGGAAGGAAGACGCAGCTCCTCCTTCCAGAGGTTACAACAGGGGAGCAAAGGTTCTCAGGAGTCTTTTCTCTTGCCCTCTTCCTAGGAAGTCACAAGGTCCTAATTGCCTCCTTCTCTTCCTCTCTCCCTTCCGTCCACAACCATCACAGGGTGTTTCTTGAGGCTTCTGCCTGGTGACAAACCCTAACAGGGCTTGTGGCAGGGAGCAGCAAAGACCTTGCCTCGTCCCTGCCAAACTGCTCCAGCCAGGGCCTGGGGCGGGAGATGGCTCCCAACAGGTCACCACTGAGGGGCCACAAGGCACCACAGCAAGGGCAAGGCAGAGTGGTTTCCCTGTCCAGAAGCATGGCCTAGTCGTTTGGGTCAGAATCACAAAATTCTCCCAAGAGCTTTTTACTGAGCCTCCTCTAGGGACACCTAAGACAGGGCCATGCTTGAGAGGTCACCATAATAAAGGGGGCATGTGATTGATGTGAATAGTGTTAATAATGATAGGGAGGGGGCCTCTCCTAGTGGCACAGCAGTTGAGCGCTGGGCTATGAAGCTGCCCACAGCCTCTGCAGTGTCGGTTTGATCCCCGGCCACCAGAGGAGGGTCCCACATGGCGCACAGACCTCTCATGCTGCCCACTGCTCCCCTCAGCAGTGTATTTCATCAGTCTGCCTGTTCTGCTCTCCGCTCTGGCTCTGGTGAATTCTCTCACCCTCCTGTGCTTCTGACTGTACCCAGTGCTTGTATAAATAAATAAATAAATCTTTGAGGGGGAAAAAAAAAAAATAATGATGGGGAGGGAGCAGGAAGGCTTTGCCCAGGGGGGACTGGGCCCTAAGGAATAAACAGGAGTGCCCCTGGAGCCCCCCAAGCAGAGAAGGAGAGAGGCACATGTGAACAGTGAGTCCCAAATGCAAGGGTTATTTCAGAATGGGTGCACAGTCAAGGGCATTGGAAACACCAGGCTACACAGATTTCCTGTGTATGTCAGTCTCCACACCTGCTCCACTACTTACCTGTATCTGACCAAGGAAACCTCCTCCCCTTTAAAGGGTCCATCCTGTGGAGAATAGACCCTTCTTGGAAAATATAAGGGATAAAAAGACTTTCAAAGGTAGCTCATCTTCTCCAGGAGACTTAATGCATATTAAATAGGGGTTTCCCACAGGGGGTGATTTAAGCTCCCCCTTGGGCAATATCTAGAACTATTCTGTTGTCACAAATGGTGGGGGGCAGAGCTACTAGCTGGTACCTGGTGAGAGGGGGCCATGGATGCTGATAAAACAGCATATAAAGAACTGTCAGGGGCCTCCCTGGTGGCATGAGGGGTTAAGACGCAACCTGTGAAGCTGTCCACAGCCTCTGCAGCATGAGTTCAATTCCCAGGCTGGCCAGGGAGCTATCCACATGGCGCAGCAGACCTCTCCTGACTTGCCCACTGCTCCCCTCAGCAGAGTACTTTCGTCAATCTGCCTGTTCTGTTCCCCACTCTGTCTCTGGTGAATCCTCTCACCCACCACACCTTTGGCCTGTACCCCAGCTCTTGTATGCATAAATAAATCTTTTTAAAAAAGCTTTACTATAAGACTGTTGGCCCCCAAATGCCAACAGTGACATCAAGAAAGCCCGGTGTAAACAAAGCAGAGGGAATGCTCCCCAAATCCAGCCCACAGGTAGGGAGGGGTCCTTGAACCCTGTAGACTCCCTGAACTTTCTCCACCCGCCAACATAGAAACCCACCCCTATCTCCCATCACCCATCTCTCAGCCTGTACTGACTCTCTTTAGACCCACAAGCTGTCTCTTCTTGGTCTGTGACTCCTCATTTTCTTTTCACTCCAAATCTGCTACTACAAGCCCTGCAAGGTTCTCTGGCAAGAATGAAGTCCAAGGTTTAACAGGCTCTGGAAGGGGCATTTCTCCAGCTTGATTCCCACTGGGAACACTTGGACTTTATCTGTTAGAGGACAATTCTACCACCACCACCCGCCTCCCACCCCCAGCCTGAGGATGGTGAAACCCAAACTCGAAGCACAGCTTCTTCCTGAGTTTCCTCCCCTTGGAAACATGTCACTCAGAGGAACAGAAAACGAAAGCAGGGGACTGAGGAAAGAGCTCCTGTGGGTCAGAGCCCCACCCAGGCTGGCTCAAGTCCCAGCCCCTCCCTCCTTACAGGGAGCTATCCACATGGTGCAGCAGACCTGTCCTGTCTTGCCTGCTGCTCCCTTCAGCAGTGTACTTGGGTCAGTCTGCCTGTTGTGCTCCCCACTGTCTTGGTGAATTCTCTCACCCCCGCACCTATGGCCTGTACCCCAGTTCTTGTATGCATAAATAAATAAATTTAAAAAAAAATAAATTCAACAGAATTTATTTTTTTTTAAGTTTTATTTTTATTTATTTATACAAGCACTGGGTACAGTCAGAAGAGCGGGAGGGTGAGAGAATTCACCAGAGCCAGAGCGGGGAGCAGAGCAGGCAGAAGGACCGAAGGACACTGCTGAGGGGAGCAGCGGGCGGCAGGAGAGGTCTGCGCGCCATGGAGGACCCTCTCCGGTGGGTGGGGGAGCAGCCGGGGATCGAACCAGCGCTGCAGAGGCTGCGGGCAGCTTCGCAACCCAGCGCTTGACCGCTGCGCCAAACAGAATTTAAATAAATGTCCACCACCTCCCGATACCTCCCAGGCCGCTTGGGCATCTTTTCCTCCTGAGGATGCGCATAGAATTTTGCTCCTGCTCAGTATTCCGAACTTCTGGAGACTCTAATGAAGGACCAAATTATGGGGGGCGGGTCGGGAGAACAGGGTGATCCTCTTCCCAAAACCCACCGTTTCCAAAACCCACCAGCAGCGCCCCAGCAGGACACCTGGCGTCTCCCCACGAAGCCGTCAAGGAACCCCACAGCACCGAGACACATTCTTAACTTTCGGGCTGGAGAAACGAAACTGAACCAGTCGGGGTGGGCGGGGCGCTCACCGCCATCCCCAGCACATCCCCGGGAGCCAGCGACACCCCGGGCCGACACGGCCCCACCTCCCCAAACTGCTGCTCTGGCCCCTCTCTCCAGCCCACTCCTCTGGGGGGCGACGGCATAACAGGGGGCCCACCAGTCGGGGTACGCGGGCAAGCAAGGTGTGGGGGGGCCAGGGAGGATGGGGTCGGGGGTCGGGAGGGCGGGGGGTCCGCAGACGGCAGTCCTGCAAGCGCTTACCTTCGCCACCCGTATTCTCGCCGCCGCCATCCCTGCGCCGAGTGCGGGTCCCCAGGACTGCAGCGAGAGGGTGCGCCCGCCGGCGGCCCTGTGCAAGCCCCGCCCCGACACCCCAACGCGACACCCACCTCCAGGAGCCCCACCCCACCCCGCCCCTCACTCCGGGCGGGTGGTGGAGACCAGCAGCCAGTGAGACCCAAGCCTGGAGGCTGCGCCCCGCCCGGGGGCTCGGACCTGGGCACCCGCCCCTGTCCCGACACCCGGGCCGGGCGCTGCGCTGCCTGACCCCCGCGTGCCGCTGGGGGGCGCCGTGCACCAGGCAGCGGGCACCGGGGAGCGCCAGGCTGGGGTCCACCCGTGGGGGGGGTTGCTCCACACCCCCGCCGGCCCCTTCCCCCATGCACGCTCGCCCTAAGCAAATGCGGGGTGCTGGCTCTGCAAATGCAGCTCCCGACTGGGCTCTCTGCAGCCTCCACCCTTCAGCCCGCCGCCCTAGCCCCTCTGGAGAATTCCCGGAGGCCCCTGGGCAAGTTGCTTCACCTCGCTGGGCCCAGGCCCCTTCTCTAAACACGGGTGTGGGCCTCCCGGGTGGCGCAGCGGGTTGAGCGCAGCGCTGTGAAGCTGTCCGCAGCTTCTGCAACAAGGGTTCAATTCCCGGCTCACCCAGGGAGCAACCCACATGGCGCGGCAGACCTCTCCTGTCTCGCCCGCTGCTCCCCTCAGCAGAGTATTTCGGTCAGTCTGCCTGTTCTGTTCCCCACTCTGTCTCTGGTGAATCCTCTCACCCTCCCGTGCATCTGGCCTGTACCCCAGCTTTTGTATAAATAAATAAAATTTATCTTTTAAAAAAAAAACAAAACAAAACCCTGGTGTAAACAAAGCAGAGGGAATGCTCCCCAAATCCAGCCCACAGGTAGGGAGGGGTCCTTGAACCCTATAGACTCCCTGAACTTTCTCCACCCCCCAGCATAGAAACCCACCCCTATCTCCCATCACCCATCTCTCAGCCTGTACTGACTCTCTTTAGACCCACGAGCTGTCTCTTCTTGGTCTGTGACTCCTCGTTTTCTTTCACTCCAAATCTGCTACTACAAGCCCTGCAAGGTTCTCTGGCAAGAATGAAGTCCAAGGTTTAACAGGCTCTGGAAGGGGCATTTCTCCAGCTTGATTCCCACTGGGAACACTTGGACTTTATCTGTTAGAGGACAATTCTACCACCACCACCCGCCTCCCACCCCCAGCCTGAGGATGGTGAAACCCAAACTTGAAGCACAGCTTCTTCCTGAGTTTCTTCCCCTTGGAAACATGTCACCAGAGGAACAGAAAACGAAAGCAGGGGACTGAGGAAAGAGCTCCTGTGGGTCAGAGCCCCACCCAGGCTGGCTCAAGTCCCAGCCCCTCCCTCCTTACAGGCTTGAGTGCCACTTTCCTCATCTGTACACTGGGGTTAGGTGGTGGATCTCACAGGGCTGCTGTCAGAATCAGATGAAATAACTCAAGTGCACTGACTGTAGGCAAGTCACAGAGCCAGTGCAATAAACCAGCTCTGCCCCATTATGCTGCCAACCTGCAGATTTCAGTTCTTCTGGAGTGAGCCTGTGCTGGGGGCCCCAATCTGAGACCACCTGCTTCTCAGAGGCTGGGGTAACAGATACCATCTTCTCCCCCCTACCTCAAGTCTGCTTCCTTGCTCTGCAAGTGGGGGGGGGGGTTGGGGGGGACTGGGAAAAGGAGGGGTAATGTGAGACCCGCTTCACCAGGACTGCTCTTCCTTCTCCATCTGTCAATGAGCTACACCCCATTTCTCCAGACACCCTGGATTTTCCCACCTGGGTGCTTTTCAAATTGTGCCCCTGGTTGGAATGAAAGATCAAAATTCCTTGGGTGGGAGTTTGGGTTTGCCTCTTCCTCCTGCCTCTAAAAGGGGCCAGCATAGGGGGGGGGGGTCCTTTAAATTCAACAGAATTGGGCCTTCCTGGTGGCACAGGGGGTTAAAATGCAACCTTTGAAGCTATCCACAGTCACTGCAGCAAGAGCTTGATCCCCAGCCAGGGAGCTACCCACATGGCACAGCAGACCTCTCCTGCCGCACCCGCTGCTCCCCTCAGCAGTGTATTTCGGTCATTCTGCCTGTTCTGTTCCTCGTTCTGTCTCTGGTAAATTCTCTCACCCTCCTGCGCCTTTTGTTATAGGACAGGGAGTATCCCGTGCTTGTATAAATAAATAAATCTTTAAAACACGAGTGTCGCCCACGAGGACAGTTTGCCTTCTGCGGGCACTCCTCAGCACCGGGGGTCTGGGGCAGAGCACTGCAAGAGGGTGCTCGTGGCCCCCCTCTCCTCGTGTGGGGGTCCAGTCCTTTAGTTCACCCCTTTGTAGTTTAATATTAAGTACCTGCCGCCATTATGCCGATTTAGGAAACAATTGGGTGGGGGAGCCCTCAACACGGATTTCAGGAGCCTCCCTTCAGTTGGAAGCTGCGCGACTCCCTTGTTTTAGCACTGGTCCATTAGAGACTGTGGGCTCACTGTGTGCCCCCCACAGCCACAAGGCTCCACTCCTTGGTGCCAGGGAAGACCCCTTGCTCCCCAGCCCCAAGCTGAGGTCACCGCGAAACAGCAGCTCCTGAGCGCTGGAGAAGAATCTCCTTGGGGGCTTGACCCCCTCTTCCTCATGCCACCCCTTTCAGAAGTCCTGACCAGGAGGGGCAAGCTCAGTACCTACAGTTTTTATCCAAGTGTCTTGAAACCAAATGACTTCCCCGCTCAGATGCGCGTTGCATTTGCAGAAAGATGGGTTCTGTTTAATTCACTTCCGTAAACACTAACTGGGCATCCTCTAAAGGCCAGAAATAGATGGTCCATCAACTCTTCACATAGGGAGAGATGAGGGAACTAGGGACATCTGAGCCCCCCTCTGATCATTCATCTAGTTAACAAGCACTTACTACTGAGAACCTCTGAGGATCACCACCATGAGAAAGGGCTCACACCATGATTAGCCTGAGCTGAGGGTGAGCCATCCCTTCAGGCAGGAATGCTTGCTGCTATTCACTGATGGAGGAGGGGAATAGAATGACTGGAAAGGAGGTGTCCCAAGACGAGAACCAGATTCACAAGGAGGTGGGGGTTGGGGAAGAACAGGACCATTAACCCAGCTGTAGAGGTTGTGACCCTCAGGCACCAGTGCCTTATCTCAAGGCAGGAGACCCAAGCGGGATCAGATGCTACAGGGAGTAGAGCACAGGCCTGAGGGTAAAGATTTGGAGATTGGGCCCACCCTGGAATCTCTGATCCCTTCCTGGTTGTGCCTAGTTGTCCCAAATCAGCAACAAATGGGCTGCTCCATGGAGGAGTGACTCTCCCAAGCAGAAGAGGACTATATCAGTGCAGTCTCTGCACAGGCTCACGGCAGCACTCCGTCTGCCCACCTGTGACTATGCAGGTGCCTCTTCACCCACTCTCTACCTCTGCAGGGCAGCAGCCTCTTGCCTTCCTGTGACCTGCCAGGACTTCTCTTCACTGACCTCCCTCAGTGGAAGCTGCTCTCCTCAAAGCTGCCCTCCTGCAACCATGCAGGCCTCTCTTAGTAAAACCTGTCCCTTTCCGTTTCCCTAATAAACCTGCCCTTTAAATATAACTAACGTCTCTGTCTCATGGAGAAACTCGCGTGGGGGAACTTGCTGTGTGTCGCGGAAACGGGAGCTCTGGTGAAACCTTTCCCAGAGCGAACCCAAGGACCCCGCAACTCTGCAAAACCCCATCATTCACCACAGCCCTCACCACTCCCAGCTGCACCTCTTCATTAGCTGCCTGACCCTGTAAGGAACCTCTGCTCTGGCAGCTTTTTGTATTGGGGGGAAAGGATGTCCTGAACAAACTCCACAAATAGGTTTTCTGGACCGCACCCCCTCCCCAGACCAGAGAGATCCAAGCCACCAAGGACTACAAATCCCATAATATCATACCACCGAATGGGAGGATAGCTGAGAACTGAGGGTGGGGTTAAGCAGCCAGGTTTGGGATATAACCAGACATGTGGGCCTTTGGGGGCCTTGGTTTTTCACCACCTTTCAGGGTACCATTGGGCTTCCAGCTTAGCAGAACTGGCAGGACATATTCACCAATTTCCCTCCCTCTTTCTCCCTGAATTATTCCTTTCTTCGTTTCCCCGTTTTGCAAATAATCCCTTTATTAAACTTTGTGTGTGTGCCTGCAGTTGAGTCTCATTATAAGTCCCTGTTAAGTGTGCAGGTGAGAACCCACAGTCAGGCCACTCCATTTCACATTGGGGTTGCCCGGGAACATTTGTACTTGTTGACTTCCTAGCTCTGACCCTTCTCCTTCCTTTCTTCCCCAGGGTCAGGGCTCTCACGCCCTATGTGTCCATGGCCCTATGGGTGTGTGTGTGTGTGTGTGTGTGTGTGTCACAGTCCTATCAGGGTCTATAGGGAAAATGGAGTGGCTCAGGCTTTTTCGCCTTCCTGCCACTAGCCTCTATGGCTGCCACCTGCAGCCTTGTTAACCGCCTAGATTTCATTACCCACACATGATATCGTTGTTGCAAAAAGTAGTTGGAAGCAAGCTCAGGACATGCAAGGCAAGCAGGCCTGTGATGGCAGACACCAGGCAGAGAAGCCAGAGAGCGTGGGCCGCCTGTACCTATACGCCCGGGAAGGGATCGAGTGCAAAGATCATTGAGAGAGAAGCCAGGGAAAGAGCGTGGAGATCATAGGGGCTGGGAGGCTCAGTTGCTGCCTGCCTCCCAGCCTCCCTGCCTCCCCCATGCCTGCTTCCCTGCCTGCTGGTCTGCATGTGTATGCAGATAAGGATAAGATTTCTGGTCCATTTGCCTGAATCAATCATGAACCACGCCGTGCTGCACCTGGTTTGCCCATACAGGATCCCACCCTTAGGGCCTCGTTTAACCTTACCTCCTGGAGACTGTCTCCAGGTACAGTTACATTGGGGTTAGGGCTTCAACATGAGCTGGGGAGGGGGCATCATTCAGTCCATAGCAGTTATGAAAGTACTGGAGGATAGACTTCCCCAGATGTCCAAACAGGCCTTCCCAAGACTTATCACTTGGCATGTGGGGGTATGTTGAGCTGAGAGCAATCACATCTGCAGGCTCAAGAGAAATTTTTACCACACCCTTAACTATCTAGAAGAATGAAAATTGGGGCTACTACCAGATTGAAGCTTATCTCTAGAAATATTCTTTTTTTTTTTAAGATTTATTTTTTATTTATGCACACAAGAACTGGGGTACAGGCCAGAGATGTGGGGGGTGAGAGAATTCACCAGAGACAGAGGGAGGAACAGAACAGGCAGACTGAAATACACTGCTGAGGGGAGCAGCGGTGGTTCCTGCACCATGTCGGTAGCTCCCTGCACAGGGATTGAACTCATGCTGCAGTGGCTACAGTTAGCTTCATAGGTTGTGTCTTAACCCCTTGTGCCACCAGGGAAGCCCTGGATGGCTTCTAGTTGACACAGGATGCCCTGTGAGGGAATACAACAGTGAACAAGATGGGGGTCCCTCTCCTTCTGTGGGTCACAGTCTAGGGGGGAGACAAACGTGAGTGATGAGCAAACAATGATTGTCTCCCTTGCAATACATGTGAGGATGACAGCAGGTCCAAAGAATGATGTAAGAGACAGGGAGGGGGAGGGAGAGAGAACACTCACAGAGCAAGGGAAAGCTGGAATAACAGCAAAGCTAGCTACAGACCTGGGCTACTACTCCAGCAAGACTATAACCTTTGGGAGTATCATCGTCCCTTCCAGAGATTTCCATCTCATTCTGATCTCTCCCAGATGGAGAACATTTCATCTTACCCATTTTCGCAGGTCAACATCTGACCCAGTAGACTCTGGCCTTGCTCCACTGTCAATAAGACATTGAATAATGGTATCATTCCCTTGGGTGGTATTTCTCAGCCAGGGCTCCAAGGAGAGGGGTGAGCCCCAACGTCTGTGGCATATTTTTTTTACATCAGGTCGACTTCGCTCTGTGTCAGTGGCAGTAGTTGTGTACTTTGTGGGAGAACTGAGGAAACAGTCACTCCAATTGTTAGGGGGAAAGGATGTGCTGAGCTCATCCCATACAGGCTTTGTGGACGCCACCCCCACTCCGGACCAAAGCCATCAGGACATTGGGAAAGAAAAATCCTGTCACCACCAAAGAGAAGGTGGCAGGGACCTGAGGGTGGAGTTAAGCAGCCAGGGTTGGTATAAAAAAACAAACACGTGGGCCTTGGGGGGTCTCGCTCTCTCACTCGCCTCCTGGCTTCACGGCCCCTGGCTCGCACTAGCTCTCAGGGTGCCATTTGGGATTCCAGATAGGCGGATTGGGTAGGACGCATTTAAAACTTTGTCTCCCACTTTTCTCCCTGAGCTGTACATTTCCTCACTTGCCCTTCCCTTGTAAATAAACCTTTTATTAACCTTTCGCGTGTGCCTGCAGTTGAGCATTGATAAGTCCTTTTAAGCGCACGGGTGAGGACCCACAGTCAGGCACCCCGTTTTGTATCAGGGCTGCCCTATAACACAATGACTTCCCGGTCTTCTGCTTCATTTCTAAGTTTTGGATCATTTTGTTTTCAGAGGAGAAACTGTAGGTGTGCAGAGAGTTCACAACCTCTAGGACATGTCTCTTGTGTTTCTGATGCCCACCTGGGGGAAAACCCTGAAGAAGTGTTCTGAGTACAGATGGAGCATCAGCGAGAACTTGAACCTCACCCCACCTAGGCAGCCAACAGTGGGAAGACGCCACATACACATACCCTCAGAGGAAGAGGTCCGGATGGGCTCACCCACCAGGGAGAGGGTCTCGTGGCAGAGAAATCCTAAGCCTGCTCTCAGGGGTGAGGAAGGACTGAACTCACAGACATAAGCAGATTGTCTATCTGAACAGCCCTGTAGAGAAGGGGGTTCTGCAAACACCCTGATTAAGCCCACCTCACACTGCCTAATTAGGAAGAGTGCTTGGCTCAGCTGCAGCTTGGACCCGCAGGAGAGCTCCACCACAGCACCGGTGTAAGTTACTTCCTATGGTTTAGGGGGTATCTAGTAGCTGCAGGGGAGGAAGCACAGGCAAAGCTGGTATGGACTCTTGGGGTCTTCCAGGAACCCCCAAGAAGACACGGAAATGGTCTTACATTTCTGTCCTGGGTGAGTTCTTTATGGTAGCAGTTCTTTTAGCAACCTACTTTCCAGAAGGTGCCAATGACCACAGAACATTAGTGCTGGATTAGGTCATCAGAGGCCTCCAAGTTTTGCAGAAGAGGTGGAGCTGCCAGGTTTAGCCAATAGATAAAAGAATGTCCAGTCTAACTTGAATTTCAGATCTATAACTACATATGTATATAAACATATATATATATATATATTAGAAGTATATAGAAGTATGTAGAAGTATGTCCCAATATTGCTTGGGACATAGACCAAAACTTTTTTGTTGGTGTTTATCTGAAATTTAGTTTTGCCAAGCATCCTATATTTCAGGTGGCAACTGAGACAAGCACCATGTGCTTATGGAAAAAGCAACTTGCAGGTCACACAGCCAGGCCTGTGGGCTCTTCTTGGGCTACTACCCCTCACCCCCAACTAATACAAGCACCCCAGTTTCAGTTTTTAATGGGAGGTGAGTACTCGCCAGGCGGGGTCTGTTACATAAGGACAGGTTCCCGGTCTCCAGAGACAGAACAGTCAGAGCCCAGAGAAGAACAGGGGCGAGGTCAGGACTGCAGGAGATTCAGATCTGAAAGCCAGCCCCTCTCTGTGTGTTCCTGGGCCAGACTTTTCAGGGCCCTAAGGCATAGTTTCTTAATGCAAATAGGTCTATTTCTAAAGGGTCGCTGAGGGTCAGCTGGGATGAATCCTCTTATTGGTGTCCCAGCCTGACAGCTGCATGGAGATGGGGGAGGAAGCTTGGTGGGCAGAGGGGAGCGCTGCTACTTCCCAAGAGGCTTTGGGCTGCTTTTCCCTACTGACCCACACAGCAGGACCAAGTGGACCGGTCTGTATCCTGATTTACTGGAACTCACACCAGCAATCGATCATCCTTAATTTGTAACTGGGCAGTGTCCTGGGCTGGCCAATAGCTAAGACCCACCCCCACCCCCAGACACCCCACCCTCCCCAAGCCTGCAGGACTATCCACTCAGTCTGCCCTGGAGCTGGCAATAGGAGTTTGGAGGTTTGGTGCTGGGGTACCGGGGAGAGGTTTGGGCAGGAGGAAGGGGCTCCTCATCTTCTCCACCAGTTTCCTGTTCCCTTTTATCTCCTCTGCAGTGTCTACAGCCTTCCTTCCACTTCAGGCTTCTTCCTGCCCCCCTCCTCTCTGCCCTCCCCCCCTTGCAGTTGTGCCCTGCTCTGCAGACCTCCCCTCCTCCCCCTGCCTCCTGCCTCATTGTTTGGCTAAAGTAGGACCCCCTTGATGGAACAGATGGACGGAGACCCTGGCCTGGAGGGGGGGAGAGAGCCAGGGCCAGGCGGTGCCGGGAAAGGAAGCAGTTCTGGGAAAACAAAACCGAGGGAGGAGCCAGGGAGAAAGTGGCCCTGGAGGAGGAGGGGGAGGAGGGGATTGGGTGAAAGGGGCCCAGCGAGGAATGGAATGGGGGCGGTGCGGGCGGGTGCGGGCGGGTGCGGGCGGGTGGGGAGGGGTGGGGTGCGGGCAGGCCCCCTGGGCCCAGGCTGGAAGCTAACTCGATGCTGGCTGGCTTCGCAGGGGCTGACGTCTCCGCCCAGATGGCCTCGAGGCTGACCCCGCTGACCCTCCTGCTGCTGCTGCTGGCTGGGGTGAGTGGCCCCTTCCTGGGTAGGGGGCTACGATTAACCCTTCAGGCTCGGGAGAATGAGAGCTGCTCAGAGTTCAGCATAAGTGTGATCTTTCAGAGGCGCTCAGGGAGAGTGTGAGAGGTGCTGGGGGTCCAGACCTACAGGGGTTCTAATCCCGCTGCTGCAGCTATAGAACAGCCCTGGTGACCTTGGGCAAGTCGCTTCTCGAGTCTACCTGCCCTGATTCAGTATGTGGAGAATAAAGTAGAAGGATCAAAGAAACAAGGAACTGGGCGGCATTTTGTGATATAAAAATGGAAAACAGGGCCTCCCTGGTGGCGCAGGCAGTTGAGGGCCGCGCTTTGAAGCTGCCCGCAGCCTCTGCAGCACAGGTTTGATCCCTGCCCGGCTGGTGAGGGTCCCACATGGTGCAGCAGACCTCTCCTGTCGTTCCCACTGCTGCCCTCAGCAGTGTGTTTCCTCAGTCTGCCTGTTCTGTTCGCAGCTCTGTCTCTGGTGAACCCTTTCACCCTCCCGCGCATCTGGCCTGTACCCCAGTTCTTGTATAAATAAAAACTTACTAAAAAAATGAATAAAAATGGAAAGCAGGGCTGCCTGGGGGTTTGACCAAGGAGACTTGCTCCTCCCAAGTTGGGGTGTGTGTGGGGGGGGGGGTGGCAGTAGACACACATGGACCTGGTGGGGGTTAAGCCCAAGAAAGGTCTCAGTGGCCTGGGAGGTCAGGGATAAGAGGAGCCCAGGCCCCCTGGGAGGTGGGAGGCAGGTGGTGCTTACTCTGTGTGTGTGTGTGTGTGTGTGTGTGTGTGTGTGTGTGTGTGTGTATGTGTGTGACAGAGAGAGACAGACATCAGCAGTGTCTTTTGAGATTCTATAGATTGATGTATTGGTGCGGTGACTAGGGGTTCTGGAGCCAGAGACCCAGGTTTGGCTCCTAATTTTCCCTCTGATTTCTCCCAGACCCTGGGTTAGGTACTTACCAAGTCAGCATCTGTTTATCAGTGAAATGGATAATATATGGTTTCTCAGCCCGGAACTAGGCTGTTTGGGCCAGATGATTCATCGTTTTGAGGGGCCAGCCTATGCCTTGCAGACTGTTGCATCTCCCTGACCTCTTACCGCTAGATTCCCAGTAAGGTCTTTACCACCCCCCACCAAATCTCTTTTCCTCCCTTTTGACAACCCAAAATGCCTCCAGGAATTGCCAGATGTCCCCTGGGGAGTCAAACTGTGCCTGATAATTTGAGGGTGACTGGTCTACACTATTTCTTCCTCTCCTCTTTCCCTCCTTTGTTCTTTCCTGTTTCCTTCCCTCCCGCCCCTCTTCTCTTCTTCCCCCACCCCTTCTCCCACCTCCTCCCTTAGACGATCATTTGTCTTTCCAAACAATTTTCGGATGCTGAGTGTTTTCTGTATCCTCATAATTTAGAAAACCAGTGTTCTACTAGTGCAAATGCTGTACAAGGAGGTGACACGAGACAGGCAGGTAGCACAGAGAATTGCAGGACCACAGGAAAGGACAGTGCATACTTAGTTTGAGTTGGGAGACAACCTCCTAATGCAGCAGTTGCTCAGACTAGTAGTCGCTGCCTACTCATCTGCAGAGAATACCCCGGCCCCCTCCCCCTGTATTGCCCCCCCTTTGAAGGAATTAGTGGTGGTGGCCCTAGGACCAGACCGTCACCCACCTGGCTTTCCCAGGAATTATTTTCTGGTACAGGCCATCTTCTAATGCACCCCCACCTTCTCATTCTGCTTTGAGTATTGGACAGGACTGGCCTCCTATGATGAAAAATGAAACTCAGTTTCTTAAAATAGGATAGCGTCTGCTCCATTGAGAATGGGACCCTTCACAGCACCATGGATCCAGAGAGCATTCAAGAAGAAAGTCAAGGGGACATCTTGAGAGACGATAACCCGGAGAATGTGTCCATTTCACACCCCGAAGCCTCTTTCCAAACCAACTCAACCATCCTAACAACCAGTAACACCAGTTTTGAAGCCTCCACTGAGCCTACCACTCAATTCAACCTCACAACTGCCCAGCCCACTTCTGCATCCTGTTGGGGGACTTTCCAGTCCTGCTCTGACTTGGAAAGTCATTCAGCAGAAGGCTTGTTGGGAGAGTCTTTGGTAGATTTCTCGGTGAAGCTCTACCACGCCTTCTCGGCACTGAAAAAGCCCGAGACCAACATAGCCTTTTCCCCGTTCAGTGTCGCCAGCCTCCTCACTCAGGTCCTGCTTGGTAAGAGGCAGACTGCATTCTCTCCAGGTTGTATGTTAGATGGTCCCATGAGGGTCTCCACCCTGGCCCCTGCAAAGCCATGCCTTGGAAAGAAGCTGAAAAAAAATGGGCTACGTTTGGTAGTGGTGGAGGGAGGAGTAACTTTGTTCTTGAACATTTGTTTATACCTTCACTTAATAATGATTTCATAGCACTATTCCTTGGAAAATCATATAAACTATGCATGAATATATAGAACCAGATCCCAGATGCCAACGGTGGTTCAGGGTAAGGGGGTAGGAGATAGAATGGAATCACGATAATGCTGCTTTTTAGCTGTGTGACCTCGGACAGATCACACCACCTCTCTGAACCAGAGTCCTTATCTGGAAAATGGAAGTGGTTGAATCTACCTCAAAAAGTTAAGCAAATAGCCCAGTGCCTGATTGAAGGTCAAAAAATCTCCCTCCCTCTGTCTTCCTGAGGGCTCACAAGTCCCATAAGGGTAAGGAATGGTGCAAATTGCCACAAGCAGTGGGAGTGATGCCGGGACTCCTCCATGGTGGGCGACACCCTCCCACTCTAGTCTGGTCCCTCAACCCTAGTCCCCGCTGGCCAGCCTCTCACTCCTCCTGCAGTTGTCCCTCTTCTCTGCCCTTGCAGGGGCTGGGGACAAGACCCGGAAAAACCTAGAGAGCCTCCTCTCCTACCCTGAGGGCTTTGCCTGTGTCCACGAGGCCCTGAAAGCCATTAAGTCCAAAGGCTTCACCTCAGCCTCCAGGATCTTCCACAGCCCAGGTGAGTGCCTGGGAGGAGAGGATTCCGAGGAAGACCCAGACCTGGGGTAACAGCTAGAACTTAGGGCATGAAGGGGGTCATGCAGAGAAGATGAGGACCCCAGCAGAACTGGCAGGTGGCTCCAGGTGAGACCTTGGGCAAGTCCTTGGCACCCTTTATCAAGTCCTTTGAGAATGAGACTGTCCTTGACCATTGATTAATAGGACCAGAGGCTGGAGGGTGCTAAGCAAAGTAGTTGGGAAAAAAGTTTGCTAATCTGTCAGGGGACTCTTGGGGCTCCTGGTCCTTGTACTCTTGTGTGGATTTGTCATCACTTCTGTGTATTACATTATTCAATAGGTACTAAGAGCAATACACTTCCCAAGCGACCAACATAATTTTATTTTCTAATTTTATTCCCCTGAGCCCCAGGGCTCTGCTGAGCTGCTTCAGGAGTCATGGGGGTGTGGGGAGGTTGGGGGAGAATCAGGAGGCTGAGTGGGGAGTCAGGACCCATCCTGTGAAGGGGAGAGGGAGCCAGCTGGGCCCTGAGCACCCATCAGCCTCCGCCAGAGCCCTCTGTACTGTGGGTTTCAGACATGACTGTATTTGAAAGCACAGTTCTGCTGTTTGAAAGGGTTTGAAAACTCCTGATCTAGTTTAACCCCTTCTTTAAATAAAAAGAACATTTTTTCCTGTCTGTTTTTCAATACCATAAAGGCAGTGTTCATTGTAGAAAACAGAAAATACAGAGAAGCAAAAAAAAAAAACCCCTCATTTTCAGAGGTGGGGAAAATAAGGGCTCTGAGGTATTCAGGGAACATTGCATTTATATCTTTGCTATAAATCCAGCTTTGTCCTCTGTCTTTTCAGGTTGGTGGAAAATACTACTGTGTTCAATATTATCTATTTAATCCAGAAAAAATTTCAACACTTTTCTTTAGCTGCCTTTGGAGGGCAAAGGCCAGGAAGTCTTGTCACAAGCTTGCATTGAGGCTGAATTAAGGGAAGATGAGGGGACACACAGGCAAGCGGAAGTTCATATCTCCAGAAATTTTCTTGACAGGCCATGGTGGCCTGGCCTGCAGAGGCCGCCAGGGCCTCAGAGGAGTTCTGCTGCTGTGCGTTCAGGGATCCTTCCAGCCTCCGCAGTCACACTAGAGGGTAGGGCTGGACCCCTGGTCCCGCAAGAGGGACAGGAAGCATGGTCCTACCCCTGGAAGTTTTAGGGGGCAGAAGGAGGGGCACCCAGACCCCCAAACCTGCTTGCTCTAAATGGGTTCTGCCATCTGTCTCAACAAGACAAACCATGCTTTTAGTGTATAAGATCTTCAACAGAAAAGAACTTTAATACAATTAGTGTGCAAGAGAGAGAAGTAAAGAGAAAGACTGTAGTTAAAATAGTTTCCCCACAAAATACCCAAAGTCACCAGTCCCCTCGTAGGTAAATGCCAAATAGGGTTTGTTCAAAGCAGGGTCGCCGAGACCTGAAATCTTGCCACAAGTCTAAGGTACACTTTGTTGGGGACCCATAGAAAAGAGGCGAGGCACGTCTGGAAGGAAAGGAGCAAAATCAGAACAGAAGTCAAAAGACTGCCATTGTCGGCTCCCCACGGGTCTGTCTCCTTCCATGTCCCCAAGTTCCTGGAACAAGTCCAAGACCAAAAGGCGAGCGTGGCTGCTTCTTCACATGGCTCTGCTCCATGTGCCTCCTCCTCTAGGTCTTCTTGTTCTTCTCTTTCTCCTAAGTGCTCCCAGTCCTTTCTAGCTTCTCCCCACTGCTCAGCTCCACCCTTCCCTGGGGGAAGGGAATCTGGAGCCTCCCCTTTCTATGGAGATCACTCAGTTACAGAAGGGCAAAGGGTGTGGGGGACTCACTCCCTCTGTCCCACCCCTGCAGACCTGGCCATAAGGGACACCTTCCTGAACGCCTCTCAGAGGCTGTACGGCAGCAGTCCCGGTGTCCTGGGGAATGACAGCAATGGCAACCTGGAGCTCATCAACAGCTGGGTGGCAAAGAAGACCCAGGGCAGGATCCGCCAGCTGCTGGATAGCCTGCCCTCCGACACCCGCCTCGTGCTCCTCAACGCCGTCTACCTGAGCGGTAAGGGGCCTGGATGGGGGCGCCTCCCCTCTGTACCCCAGCTTTCCTTCCCTCCTGCCTTCACAGTGAGGGCAGTCAGCCCAAGACTGGGCCTGCTCCAGTCCTTGCTTGACGGACTTGTAGCTCCTCTTCACCCCGTCCCTGCCTGTTGGGGGTGACGCTCCTCTCCCGTCCCTCTAGCCAAGTGGAAGACAGTATTTGATCAGAAAAAAACCAGGATGGAGCCCTTTCGCCTCAAATCCTCTGAGATAAAAGTGCCCATGATGATTAGCAAGAAGTACCCCGTGGCCAGTTTCACCGACCGGACTTTGAAGGCCAACGTAAGTGCTCTGTCTGCCCCCTATTTCGGAGCCCCATGTGTGTTGCCTTCTGCGCTGCTCTAACCCCAGGCCTTGGGGGCACACCCTTACTGATTTACTGTCTCTGCTCCTTCCAGCTCTAGCTCCGTCCTCACTTTGCTCCTTCTCCCCTCTCTGGCTTCAGCGGAGGCAGGTAGTGTGTCTTTTGGGCTGGAAAGTAGGATGCTAAAGTCTCTCTGTCTCTCTCTACTGCATCGAATGGAGAAACAGTGAGTCGTGTTCCTGTTCTGTGCATCTGTTCCTTCCAGTCAACCTGTCCAGAGATTCTGGTGGCTTAGTGTAGTGTGTGTCTGTGTGTGTGTGCACACATGCACGCACACCTCAGTACAGCATGCATCTGTCAGTAACCTCGTGAATCGGTATATCCATGTGTGCATATGTGTGGGAAGTACCTGCAAGCACACACACTATATGGGTTAAGTTCCTCAGCAGAAGTAGACCAGCATCATTTCAATGGGCAGGACAGGAGGGAAGAGAGACTCTGGAGCTCAGGGGTAGTAAGCTAGCTCATGCCCAGTCACCAGGGCTTTCTGCCTTGTTCGGGCAGTGAGGCACAGACCTATGAGACACAACGGTGTGGGATACCCAGGACTTAGTGCCAGGCTGGGGAGCAAAGGATCTGTCCAGGAATATGCCAGGCTTGACTCCTGGCACAGTCTTGTTTTGTCCTCTGCCTGAACCCTTCTTTGCTCAAATTTTCATATGACTTGTTCCTTCTTAGTCAGATATCATCTCAAAGGTGGAGACACCTTTCTCCTGAAAGTAGCTGCCTCCTCACTCTGTAACATCATCCTGGTTTATCATATTCATGGTACTTGTCACTGTCTGAAATTGTGTGTGTCTCTTATTTGCTTATAATATTATCTCTTCCTGAGATATTGTCTCTGTCTTTGGGAATAGAGACCTTGCTTTTCATATAACCTCCTGTATCTCCAGTGCCTGGAACAAGTTTACATATAAGTATGATAAATGCTCATTATATGTTTGCTGAATAAATGAATGGATTCAGTGGAGGGGGCTAAATGGAGCAACTCGGTATAAGTAAGTAAGAAGAATTCATAGAGGAAGTTACTGTTGACCAGGGGTGAGAGGATTCACCAGAGACAGAGTGGGGAACAGAACAGGCAGGTCTACTGAAATACACTGCTGAGGGGAGCAGCGGTCCAGACAGGAGAGGTCTGCCTTGCCATCTGGGTTGCTCCCTGCCTGGCCGGGAATTGAACTCCTGCTGCAGGGGCTGAGGATTGCTTCATAGTGCAGTGCTTAACCCCTTGCACCACCAGGGAGGCCCATTCATTCATTCTTCCACCAGTTCTCTCACACCTATACAATGTATTTAACCACTCATAACTATTTAACAAAGCCAAGATAGAATGTATCAGGCAGAGAGGAGGGAATAAATAAGGCGATCAAGGTATCACTCTCAGAGCACTTGGGGAGAGAGTCTCAATGTGAGTTTTTTTTTTTTAAATGCCAAAGAAACTATTTATATAGTTCATTGGTTTAAAACTAATGCTTGGCCCCCCTGGTGGTGCAGGGGTTAAAGTCTCAGCCTGTCAAGCTATCACCAGCCAATGTTGCACAAGTTTGATCCCTGGCCAGCGAGCTGACCCACCTGGCGCAGCAGACCGCTCCTGTCTCACCTGCTGCTCCCCTCAGCAGTATATTTTAGTCAATCCACCTGTTCTGTTCCCCACTCTGTCTCTGGTGAATCCTCTTACCACCCCCACCCCCCCGCACCACTGGCCTACACTCCAGTTCTTGTATGCATAAATAAATAAAAATAAATCTTAAAACCAATACTTGATTTAATGTATTAAATTCTATTATTGTCTACTAAATTCAAAATCAGTTTTACTTAAGACTTTTAAGTTGCATGTGCTACATTTATAATACTTTTTATATAAAAGCACTTACATTTGCCTTTAATTAAGCCTTATTGAACAGATTAAGCTCCTGTAAGCCATTTATCCCATTTTCAAATATGGTTAATTCATATTTCCATAAGCATTCCTAGCTTACTGGTATACTTTATTTTATAAAAATAGTTTGTAAATTCCATAGACTTGATTTTCTCTTTAAGCATGCCAAGTATCTGACAGGGCAGAATTACAACCCTGCTTAACCATGTTTTCCTAGCACCTCAATCTCACTTGTGAATTGATATTTAAATTTTTTTAAAGATTTATTTATGCATATAAGCACTGGGGCACAGGGTCTCCCTGGTTGCGCAAGGGGCAAATGTACAACCTATGAAGCTATCCACACCCTCTGCAGCACAAGTTCGATCCCCAGCCAGGGAGCTACCCTCATGGGGCAGCAGACCTGTCCTGCCTCGCCCGTTGCTCCCCTGAACAGTGTATTTCAGTCAACCTGCCTGTTCTGTTCCTGACTCTGTCTCTGGTGAATCCTCTCACCCCCCACACCTCTGCCTCTACCCCAGTTCTTGTATGCATAAATAAATCTTAAAAAAAAAAAAAAAGATTTCAAAGCTACGTTTAAAAAAAAAGAACTGGGGTACAGGCCTGAGGTGTGGGGGGTGAGACCTACTCTGAGGTTGCTGGCTTGAAAATTAGAGTTTGCAACATATTAATTTATTGTTCAGAGATTCAAGACCAATACGCAGGACTTGAAGGGTACATGCCCTTTCATGTAATAGTCTAACATCCTATTAGCCCAGGGTTTCTCAACCTTGGCACTATTGATATCTTAGGTTGGATAATTCTTTGTTATGGGGTGCTCTCCTGGGTATCATGGCAGTTAGCATCATCCCTGACTTCTACCCACTAGACACCAATAGTACGGTAAGCCCCCTCCCCCACCCCACCTCCAGCTGTGACAACTAAAATGTCTGCTGACATTGCCAAATGCCCACCAACCCAGAGCAAATTTTCCCTGGGTTGAGACCCATGAACCCTGCACTTCTCCTATACCTTTGGTGAGCAGTTAAAAGTTCTTCTGGGCCTCCCCGGTGGCGCAGCGGTTGAGCGCTGGGTTGCAAAGCTGCCCGCCGCCTCTGCGGCGCCAGTTCGATCCCCGGCTGCTCCCCGGCCACCAGAGGAGGGTCCCACATGGCACGCAGACCTCTCCTGCCGCCCGCTGCTCCCCTCAGCAGTGTACCTCGGTCCTTCTGCCTGCCCTGCTCCCCGCTCTGGCTCTGGTGAATTCTCTTACCCCCCTGCGCTTCTGACTGTACCCAGTGCATGTATAAACAAAACAAACAAACAAATAAATAAATAAATGAAAATGCCTCTATAAAAAAAATTAAAAAAAAAAAAAGTTCTTCTAATGGTAAACTGGGAAGGTGGGTAGGATCAACTTGTACATAGTCTTGAATGCTACCCTAGAGATATATACATCATAGGCAGTGAAGACTGTCACGGTAAATTGGATGGTGTATTATGTGTGTCATAAGCTTCCTGCACAACTTACTTGAGAAGGGAGACAAGATCAGAGAGTTCAAATCTCGCTTCTGTCACACAGATGAGAGTAGGGTTAGGGTGTGGGCCCTGACTTATGTGATCAGAAATTTACTCTTCTGACTAGCACAGAATGAAAGCAGCCTTGTTCTCCTTAACCCCTTGTACCACCAGGGAGACCCTGTGCCCCGGTTCTTGTATGCATAAATAAATCTTTAAAAAAATTTAAATATCAATTCACAAGTGAGATTGAAGTGCTAGGAAGACATGGTTAAGCAGTGTTGTAATTCTGGCTCCCCCATTCTGTGCAAAGCATAGGAGCCTGGGTCTGACTGTTGCTGAAATAGTACAGACGGTAGCAAAGGATGAAGATCGCCTTGTGACACAGAGGGTAGGAGCTGAAGTGGGGAAACTGACAAGGTGCATGTCTTACTCTCCAGATTGGGATGCTGCAGCTCTCCCACAATCTGAGCTTGGTGATCATGGTGCCCCAGCACTTGAAGAACCATCTGGAAGACTTGGAACAGGCTCTCAGTCCCTCTGTCTTCAAGGCTATCATGAAGAAGCTGGAGCTGAGCAAGTACCATCCCACTCTCCTGATGCTGCCCCGTATTAAAGTGAAGAGCAACCAGGACATGTTGCCCATTTTGGAGAAACTAGGTGAGTCTTGGCAGTGCAGGTTTGCTCCCAGGCCATCAGAGGAGAACAGTTGGGAAGGGCTCACTAAATCGGGGTGAGCATTCTAGATTATTTTTTGCATCCATAATCTCGGGTTGCCCCCAGAGAAGCAGGTGCAATTATGCCATTGGATCATTGAGGAAGCTGAGACTCAAAAAGCTTACATGACTTACCCAGGGTCCCTTGAACTCATTCAAAGTGAGCCAAACATCAATCAGGTCTCCAGCTCTCCCGTCTCTTTCCACTGTGGCTCATTGTGACGTAGCACTGGGAAAGGTGACCCCGGTGTGCTGTGGGTATTCCTTTCTCAGAGACAGTTCTAACACTCAGCTGCCCCACAGAATATGCAAGAAGCTATCTGGGTAAAAAGAGCTGGAGGGCGCTAAGGTTAGGGGAGGTGATTCTAAACCTTTGGTCTCACTTTCTGAGCTTTGATCTTGTGCCCAGAGAGATCACTTCACTTTCTCTTGTAGAACATGACTTCCTAATAGGTGATCTCATTTCCTAGGCTCTGACATCATCCCTTTACAGAAAATGACTTCATTTGATAACAGATGACTTTCCTCTGATATATTACCTCACTGCCAAGGTCCTTGAGGACAAAGAATCCATGACATCTTTTTCAGGGTTTTTGGCATCATTTTTAAGGGTTTTTTAGGGGAGGAGACAAAGCCTCTCACCACTCAAGAGAAGGGTGGTTGAAGTAAAGATGGATCCACTGATCAAGGATCCCACAAACTGGACCAAAAGGCATCATATATTGTTTGATGAGCAAGGGGGAAGAGCAAGAATGTGTTGAGACTTGGGACCAACCTAGAAAACTCAGGACAGGTCTCCAGCAACTGAAGGTTTCCAGATCTTTGACTCTGGTTCTCTCTGATTGTGCCTTAGAATTCTTTGACTTTACCTATGACCTTGACCTGTGCGGGCTGACAGAGGACCCAGATCTTCAGGTCTCTGCGATGCAGCACCAGACCATGCTGGAGCTGACGGAGTCTGGAGTGGAGGCTGCTGCGGCCACTGCTGTCTCTGTGGCCCGAACTCTGCTGGTCTTCGAAGTCCAGCAGCCCTTCCTCTTTATGCTCTGGAACCAAGAATACAAGTTCCCTGTCTTCATGGGGCGGGTGTATGACCCCAGGGGCTGAGGAACCCAGCAGGGGCCCACTGTGGGCAAGCCCACACCCTTCACTCTTGGCTCTCCCAGTTGCAGCCCACTGTTGCCTGCCTGGACAGGCCCTGAGCCAGCTCCTGCCCAGGTCTCCTGTATCCCCTGTCATCCAGGGTCTGGCAAAGGAACCTGCTTCTGTCCCTTCCCTGTGACTCTGCAAAATACTTTTTACAGCTTTCTCTGGTTCAAGTTGACCACACTACAAATAAAACCTGGCAGACCATGACATCCTCTCATTTAAAGTATAGAGGACAAACACTCTAGTGGACCTTGTATCAGCTACCTATGACTGTGTAACAAATCACTCCAAACTTAGCAGCTTCAAGGAGCAACCATTTATTTTACATAAACCTTGGGGTTGGCTGAGTGGCCATGCTGATTGGGCTGGACCTGGCTGGTCTCCCTGGGCTGGCTTGTATGTCTAAAGGCGGTGGATGGGTTGGGGAAGGACTCATGGTAGGATATTCTCCACTTGGCTCTTCTCCATCCTGCCATCAGGCTATCTACCCTGCAATAGTACAATTCCAAGAACAGGCGGTCTTTTTCACAGCTCTGCATCTCTGCTGGCATCAAGGCTACCATTTCCCATCAGCCAAAGCAAGTCACATGGCCATACCTGGAGGGGAAAGACCTGCCAAGGTTCCATGGCTGAGTCACCAGCTGGGGGAGAATCGTGCCATGTGTTTATCCCAGCCCCTGCCACATTAACTGGTCTGCAACAACTGGCAGCAGTAGTGACGAGCTCAGGTGATTGGGAACTCACAGGTGGTCTGCCATGAGCTTTGCAGGCCTTTGATCCTCACAACTTTATCTAGTAAATTGAGAGCGGCTGAGTCTCTTATTCAGAGTCACTCCTGGTAGGAAATGCCAGACAGGAACCTGCAAAACCGTCTCTGTGGCCCTTAAGTCTGAACTCATGGCCCCACCTTCTTTGTTTCTACCTCTCTATCTTAAAGCCCTCCCTTCTCTTGGTGTTTCATTTATTTGTTCAACAGATAGCATGCCTAGCACTTGTCAGGCTAAGTGACACTGACATAAAACGTGGGTCTACTTCCAAAACCTAATGCTTGTTGGGGGCCACGGATGGGAAGATAACTTTTTGGGGGAGGGATATTGACCCTAAATTTTCATTCCATCTCTGAAGATATCTCAGCACCAACTGGAAATGTGAACAAGGAGAGGCAAAAGGTAGAAAGTGATTCTGACCCTGCACACAGTACTTTGTGACCGTCCCCACCATGCTGAGAGCCAGGTAGTATTCCTGTCTGTGAGCTGAGGGAGGTAAAACTCAGAAATGTTAAGGTCACACAATTGTAATTGATCTGAATTTCAATGGACTAGGTGGCTTATTTGGTCAGGTTATTTCCCTTCTTTCCAAACTAGACTATAAATCAGATCAGTGTTTTCTTATAACCTCCACCAGGTGCCCCACCAAGCTTATTAAAGTGCCTAACGCTAAAAACAAAAACTGAGTGAATGAATGATTGAATGAATGAATGACCACATCCAGGTAGGAGGGAAAAAGACTCCTATGCATCTAGAAAAAGTAGAGGATCTCCCTGGTGGTGCAGGGTGTAAGTCTCAGTGCCATCACTGCTACTGCCCAAGTTTGATCCCCAGCCAGGGAGGTGACCCACCTGGCACAGTAGACCTCGCCTGTCTCGCCCCGCTGCTCCCCTCCCTTCAGCAGTGTATTTCAGTAGATCCACCTATTCTGCTCCCCACTCTGTCTCTGGTGAATCCTTTCACACCCCGGACTTCTGGCCTACAACCCAGTTTTTCTATGCATAAATCTCTAAAAAAAAAAAAAAAGTAGAAAAACTGAACACAGAATTTAAGTATTTCCTGTTGTGAGGCTTTTCTTATAATAGGATGTGAACCAATTTTTTTTGTTTGTTTTTGTTTTTAGCTCATTCATGATTGAGTCAGTGTGGGGCTGGCAGGTCTTGGGTCTTGGTTGTGTATCTCCTGCAGTCAGCTGGGGGTTAGCTGGAAGGTCTGATGAAGTTTGGCTTTGCTCAGCTGGTCTAGGTCTTGGGTCTTAGCTGAGATGAATGAGCTGACAGACTCTGCTCCTTTTGGTCTCTCATCTCCCTGGCGGTTAATCTGACCTTACTCATTTGGAGTATAAGAATCTAAGAATGTGGGCACAGGCATGAAAAACCTCTTGTCTAAACTAGAAAGTCATGTAACATCTGTTCTGGTTTATTCTGCTGGCCAAGGCAGGTCATCAGACCAGTTTAGATTTAAAGAGGATAAGTCTCTGGGGCCTCCCTGGTGGCGCAAGGGATTAAGACACAACCTATGAAACTATCCACAGCCACTGCGGCACGAGTTAGATCCCCAGCCAGGTGGCTACCCACATGGTGCAGCAGACCTCTCCTGCCCCACCTGCTGTTCCCCTCAGCAGTGTATTTCATTCAATTTGCCTGTTCCCACTCTGACTCTGGTGAATCCTCTCACCACAACCCCACACTTCTGGCCTGTACCCCAGTTCTTGTATGCATAAATAAATATTTTTTTTAAAAAAAGAGGGTAAGTCTCTGCTTCTCAAAAGACCTGCAGTCACTCTACACAAAGGCCATTGATACAAGAAAGCATAAATTGCTAGCCACATAGTTGTCTTACGCTAGTGAAGAATTAGCAATTTCTGCAGTAACTTGCTGCTCTGAGGCTTTCCTAAAAGAGCTAGATGCTTTTTGTCTATATCATAAGAATATTAGAAATGACATGTCAAGTTTCAAGTTGCTTGCATGTAATTTTACTCTTTCTTCTGCTACCGCTGTGTCACACCTAACAACCCCCAACTTCTCTGCCTGCAAATGTCAGTTCTGAAAAAGGATGATATACCCATAGACACACACATCTAAGACCTCTATCCTCCCACCCTACTCTGGGCTAGACAGCGTTCAAGTGATCTGCTTCCCATCCTCAACCACACAATCCTCCTGGTGGGGTTTGGTTGAGGGAGAGAACCCTAAAGAGTGATCAGGGTTCTGTTGCAGTTAGTCCTTGCTGCCACATGGTGTCACTGTTGAAACTTTGTCCTGCATAGCCTTTGAACACTTGGAACTTCCCATGAATTCTAGATTCTCAGCCAATGTGAATTTAATTCTCTTTGGTTCCAAAGTTTATGGTTTGCAAATGTTTAACCACTATTTCCAAAGATTAGTACTTTTGGGTTTTGCCTGGATTCTGGAAGACTTGCTGTCTGAGCCACATGATATGTTAGAACCAGCCTGGTCCTTACAAACCATTACAGCCCAGCTAGAACCGCAATAGCAGCAACAACTACCTAAAGCACATCTCACATGTACCAAGCTGTCAGGTGCCACATGAAGAACTTTCCATGGGTAACAATTTTACTTAAAGATGATTGCACCTCATGAAAGGGCCATGTTACTGAAGACATGTTATAACTCCAGACTATATGATTTGACACTGTATTTCCCAAAAGAATAATTATAAAAGGTAAGGAGAGGGCTCTTCAACCACTGTAGAATTTTTTTGTCATTGTGTTTATTTACTAAACACTAAAATCTCTGCTGTTTCACCACATGGCATGTCATGACAGTTACTTGGGCTTTTTCAGGGTTTTATATTTAACTTCCATTACAAAGTTATTGATTCTGGACAGTGTTTTTGGCACCAATGCCACCACTTAATGAACAATGAGATAACATCATTCTAGGATACAGAAAAAATTTTAAATGATAAAGTTGAATATTAAGATAACAGTACATTAGTCATTAATGTCACTATCACGAGTTATAATCTACATAAACAGCTCTAGATTCACAAGAGATCAATGTCGATGGCAATTATTTGCTTTGGTCAGTTCAAGTGATGTCATGTGGCAATAACTGTAATTACAACCCACTCGACTGCCAATTTTGAAGTCACACAACCTCAATTTTTTATTAATTTAAGGGGACTTGAAGCTTTTCACATTTGCATAATTCAAATTCACATAACAGGATAGCATCACACCATTATGATCCTTTTTTAATAGAGGAAAATGAAGCTTTAGAGAGCAATTAATCTAACCCTCCAATGTCTCACGGCTGATGAATAGTGGAGCTGGGAATAGACCCCAGTGCTTAGAACTTAGATTCCATTTCTCTCAAGGTAACTTTATTTTAGAGAATCTACTAATATTCCTGTCCCAAGCAAGCCCTAGTTGAAATTACATTCATCCGTCCCAAAACTTCTCCACAGAATTTTTTTTTAAAGTTTTATTTATTTATGCATACAAGAGCTGGGGTACAGGCCAAAGGTGCAGGGTTGAGAGGATTTGCCAGAGACAGAGTGGAGTGCAGAACAGGAGAATTGACTGAAATACACTGCTGAGGGGAGCAGCAGGGAGACAGTAGAGGTCTGCATGCCATGTGGGTCAGCTCCTTGGCTAGGGATCGAACCCATGTCGCAGTAGCTGTGGATTGCCTCATAGTGCTTATGCTTAACCCCTTATGCCACCTGGAGGCCCTGTCCACTTATTTAAGGGCTGCCATTCTGAGACCAGTGCACAGTTCTCTGCCCCCCAGTGTTCTCTGCTATTCCCGGCCAACAGCACCTCCTCTTCCAAATACCACCCCAACATACACAACCTTGGCTAATCTATAACATAGTCATGTATTTTGCCTTTTCAATCCATCCCCCAAGAGGTTCCTTAGGAACCTGGTTGAGTAGGTGCTTCTCTGGCACCATAGAAGCTTAAAAAATGCTTAGTAAAATACTTTTGAGTCAAAGTGTGCAATGTCCAATATTTGGGTAAAGATTGCATCATATAATGATGACGCTGATGTTATCCTAATGTCATGTGTCTCCTCCCATAACCAATGCAGGTAGGAATCCTGACAGCATAGCTTCTCATAGTTATATCAGCTATGGTTCTGCCTTACAAGTCGTCTCTAGGAGAAATGGCACAACGATGTGAGGGTGATCTTTCCAGCTCTCTGCTGCTCTGGGTCTCTTATCCTTGGGGTCAGGATTTTTAACACTCCATGGGTGGATGCTCCAGTCAGATTGAGGGATAGTTCCATCATGGTCACTCAGTAAACATCTGGAGTCAGGAAGTTTAGCTATTCCAGGATTAAACAATGGGCCACCCTGCAGATTTTCTTTCCTTATCTATTTAAATCTACTACCTAAAGAAAATCTATACTCTGCTATTGTTCTGCAGGGACCTTTTCCTTTTCCCTTTTCCCCTGGTTGATACATGGCATCTATAGAATTGTATGGTCATACTCTTCATCTGTTTTCACTTAAAAATTTAATCTAACAATTAAAAAAATATGAAAAAATTAGCTCTCCAGAAGAATACTGGGAAAAAAGGAGAAAACTAATTTCTGATACCAAATAGTCTCTGATACTAACTAGTCTCTGATGAGGACAGTCCTTGAGTCCTGGCCTATTCTTGTCCTGGGACGCTCCCTGTCTCAATAGGGTTGGGAGTTGGTTTGACATGGGAAGTTCTTGCAAACCAGAGAAAGTTCTCTGATTTCATGCCCCCACTTACTGCTCTGAGCTATAGAGTGGTGGTCGCCCACCCAAACCCACCTACTATTCTTGCAGCTTTCACAATAGCCAAGAGATGGAGGCATGTGGATCAACAGAATGCAGGGCCTCCCTGGTGGCACAAGGGTTGAAGTCAGTGCTATCAAGCTATCGCCAGCTGCTGTGGCATGAGTTCGATCCCCAGCCAGGGAGCTAACCCACAGGGTACAGCAGACCTCTCCTGTCTCACCCACTGTTCCCCTCAGCAGTATATTTCAGTCAGTCTGCCTGTTCTGCTCTACTCTGTCTCTGAGAGTCCTCTCACCCCCTGTACCTGGCCTGCACCTTAGCTCTTGTATGCATAAATAAATAAATCTTTTAAAAAAATAAAGTAGCACAGGTCTTAGAAAGAGAAAGTAGGAGGGTGTGATCAGGGCCTGGGGATAGTGGGAGAAGGGAAGTCCTGTTCAATATGTAAGCATTTCAATTTTGTTGGACAAAAAAGTTCTAAAAATGTGTTGTGAAATGTGTATATAGGTAACCCTACTGTCCTGTATAGTGAAAATGGCTGAAAGGGTAAATGTTATGGGTTTTTTTTTTTTTTTGGTTTTTTTTTTTACCACACACATACAAAAGCTCCATTCATGGGCAATAAGGATGCCCCAGGGACTCCCCAGCAGTGAGATACTTACCCCAACTCGCACAATGGGTATTGTCTTCCTCCTTCATGAAGGGAGGAGCAGAGAAGCTGAGAGACTTATTTGAACCAACAGCCACCTGACCCCAGCACTCTCAGCCTCTCACGCTTAGACCAACAGCTATGACACTGAGCTTGGAAGCAAAACCTTCCCCACCAGTCTTCAGATAAGACCCCACCCTGGGTGACACTCTGATTTCAGCTTCAGGAGAAATCAGGATCCAAGGACTCAGCAACTATTACCCCGCCCAGATTCCTGATCCACAGACACAATGAGAAAAGAGGTGTGTGTGGTCTGAAGCCTCTGTGTTTTGGATAAACTTGTTACCCAGCAACAGGCAACTAATCAATATACCTGGCTTGTATGACAGACCAGATGAGGTCTGTTTCACGCAGATCCTGGAGACTGCAAGCAGAAAGTAGGGGTGTCTCCCCAAAGAAAGCTAAGGTGTAGTGTTAGAAGCGGATGGAATGCCTCCCTGGTGGAGCAAGGGGTTAAGACGCAACCTATGAAGCTGTCCACAGCTTCTGAAGCATGAGTTCGATCAACGGCGCCCAGGGAGCAACCCACATGGTGCAGCAGACCTCTCCTGTCTCACCTGCAATTTGGTAGATCTGCCTGTTCTGTTCCCCACTCTGTCTCTGGTGAATCCTCTCACCCTCCGCCCACCCCTCCCCACCGGCCACATCTGGCCTGTACCCCAGCTCTTGTATGCATAAATAAATAAATCTTTAAAAAAAAGAAAAGAAAAGAAAAGAAGGGGATGGAATCCAAGCAGGCAAAAGTTCCACATGTCTACCTCACAAATCTGTTTGGGAATGTAAGGAGGCAGCTGGAAACACATCTGGAGCTATAGATTTGGCAGTGATTCGTATAAGCACAGGTGACGGTTGAAACTCTAAGACTGGATGAAATTGTCCTCCAAGGGAGAAGCATCGAGGGCAGATCTTTTGGAAATACCAAGATTTAAGGGACAGATGGAAGAAGAGGCAGAGGTGAGCAGGCCAGGGCAGAGGTCTAGCAGACACATCTGACATCCAACACTTTGTGCTCGTCTGGTTGGTAAGACACAGCCGAGAAGTCACGGCCTCTCTCAGAAATGCCGGCCTTCAGTTTGGAGTTGTATATCGGGAAACCACAACAGAGAAGTCAGCATGGAAATCAGGCTCACGGATGAGTTTGCCCAGTGAGACAGCGGCTGTAGCGGCTGGGGAGGGAAGTGGACTCACGGAGAGGGAGTGGAGATGGGATAGTTGGAGAGCAAGGAGGCATTGCCCAGAGGCCACAGGCCTTTCAAGACTGATACAGTCACTCCAGGCAAAGTCTACGAAGTGGACTGTGTGCTATGAGGCTTGAGAAAAGAACGAAGCATCAGTATTGAGGGAGCCACAGGTCATCCAAGTGGGAAATATTCAGTGGGAATAAGGGGTAGAGACCAGACAGCAAGGGTTAGAGAATGGGAGCCGGTGAAGGAGAGTGGTGAATGCAGACTGGAATTGAGAGAATTTTCGGGGCAGGTTGTGCGAAGGTTTGAGACCAGGTGCAGGCTGGGTTGAGAGTCTGAACCATGTGGGCCTTCCTGGTGGCGTAAGGGGTAAAGTCTCAGCACTATGAAGCTATCGGCAGCCACTGCAGCATAAGTTCAATCCGCAGCCAGGGAGCTACCCACATGGCACGGCAGACCTCTCCTGCCTCGCCCGCTGCTCCCCTTAGCAGTGTATTTCAGTAGATCTGCCTGGTCTGCTCCCCACTCTGTCTCTGGCGAATCCTCTCACCCCCTGCACCTCTGGCCTGTACCCCTGTTCTTGTATGCATAAATAAATAAATCTTAAAAAAAAGAGTCTGAATGACGTATTACCACTCGCGACTCAGTGTGACGACAGAGACAGTGTCCTTTCTTGAGTTCTAGTTCTTCTTTCTGAGACAACAGGTCCAAAACTTCCCCCAAACTTGGTGTCTGCAAACTCTGGCTGTAAAGAGCCTGTTAATTAATGTGGGGGCCAGACGGCTCCCTCGGAGCCACCACCTTCTGTGGGAAAGCTGTCACAGACACTGGTGGCCACGCCGGCAGGGCTGTGTGCCAACCAATTTTATTTGCAAAGAACCAGCAGAGGGCAGGATTTGGCCCTTGGGCTGTCCTCTGCTGACCTCTGTTCTAGGCCTGTGAAAAGGATTGGAGGGGCCATCAATGGGGCAGCTGATGCAGCAAGAATTCCTATTCAAGACCTCAGGGAAATGGGTTTTCCTCAGAAAGAACGTTCTAGCATCTCTTTGGGCACTTGAAGTGTGACTTTCTCTTTGAGTGTCTGCTTTATACCCTCAGCTGTGAGTACCTCAGGGCCAGGAATGTCTTCCAGCAATAGCTGCAGACTCTTCCACACAGGAAGTGCTTAGGCACATAAGTGGTTGAGCGAAGCAGGATGGTAAAGAGACAGAAAACCTGGTTGTGGGAGGAGGAGAGGTTGAAGGGTCTCACGCGGAAAGGTCTCCGTCGGTCACGGGGAATCAGGAGTAATGTGATGTATAAGCAGGTGAGCTTTCATCTGTTTCAGATTCAACCCTTCCAACATGTAGAGGCTGGGGGCAGATGGTCACCCTGTGCCAAGAATTACAGAATTCTAAGTGGTGTACCCAAACGGAGATGTGACTGGACTCTGGGGACTAGGAAGGAAGGCAAAGGGGCACCCCCAGAATGGCCCTGGACTTGCTGTGGGGAGGACTTGGCCAACAAGGCCACGGCAGAGCCCAGGCACATTCTGGAACCTCCATAGGAGGAGGGAGGGCTGTGGAGGTGGGGTGGCTAGGAGCCAGATCGCTCCTGGGTGCGTTTCTTTACACTGCTATAACAGGTTGGACCATGTCTGGCTGTTTCTGGCTTCCATTTTCGACTCTTTCCTAAGAAGGAAGGGGGCCAAGCAGGGGTTTGGAAGGTGGTAAGTGAAAAGGAGGCCCTTTCTCTGCAGCTCGCACCTGAGCATGAGGAATCCAGCCAACACGGAGCTGAGAGGGACGGAGGAGAGTCTGTTGCCTGATGGGGACCTGGTGTCCCCGCAGCACTGGGCACAAGGGGCCAAGGGGAGTTGGCTACAGGCTAAGGCAGAAGCGGCAGAGAACTGAGGGTGGCAGCCCTGGGCAGCCAGATGGATAGGTGGGAGGCGTCTCCTGGTGGGGAAAAGGGTATCGGGCATTTCAAGATAAATGATGTCACTGGAGCTGAGCAGAGGCTGGCGGGAACTGTTCAAGACACCCCTGTCTGTCCCCGCCTGCCTTTTCAGCCCTGCTATTCCTCTTCATACGTCCTGGGTTCCCACCGACTTCCCAACCAATCCTGAGCACATCCTGCCGCGTGCCCCCTTTCAACCTTTGTGTTGTTCCCTCTTCTTGGCGGTGCCTTGTCCTCCTTCCTCCCATCTTCTTATTTTCAAATCCCTTCTCTTCTGGGCCTCCCTGGTGGCGCAAGGGGTTAAGCGTCAGCATCATGAAGCTATCTGCAGCCACTGCAGCACGAGTTTGATCCCCGGCCAGGGAGCTACCCACATGGCGCAGCAGACCTCTCCTGTCTCCCCGCTGCTCCCCTCAGCAGTGTATTTCAGTAGATCCACCTGTTCTGCTCCCCACTGTCTCCAGTGAATCCTCTCACTGCCCTCCACCTCTGGCCTGTACCCCAGTTCTTGTATGCATAAATAAATAAATCTGTATAAAAAATAAATCCTTTCTCTTCTTCAAGTTTTGGGTGCCACTTCCTTTAGGAAGCCTCTTGAGGTTCCATTCTCCACTGGGGGCGATCCTTCCCTCCTGTGAACTCCTTATCTGTCTGCCACCAGAGAAGTCACTAGGAGTAGGGGCAGAGGGACAAAAGCCATTCTGGGTCTTCCCCTCACCCAGAGCATATGATCCAACAGAGGCCCTCCACCAGACAAACACTGTAACAGCTCAGTCTGCTGGGTTAGCGCCTTGTAGGCACCAGTCCAGCCTATAGCCACCAGACTCTCCGACACCCCATCCCCTCATCCCCCAGAAGACTCCAGAATTAGCCCCTTGCTAATTTTGCTTCCTGGTCAGTCTACCCATGAACCCAGAGTCAGTCTTCTCCTGCCCTGCAGCTTCATGGTGGTGGTGTTGGGGTGACACAATCCTACTGACCCAGGGAGGTAACTGCCCATGTTCTCGTAAGCAGGACATACCTAGGAGCTCTGGGCATACCTGGGAGCTCTGGGCTTCCACATGTGGGCAGAGAGCTGACTTGGTCCTCTCTGGACCTGGCTATACCTTGGTATCACTCAGAGTGACTGATTTCAGGCCAGTTCACATTGGTTCTGGGTCAGAAAAGTACATTTCTTGAACCAACGATGGTGCGTGTGGACATGCAAATCCCCCAAAGAGATGTCCTGAGTTCATGTCCTGGGTTCATGTTAACTTGTGAGGCAACACATCTACTTGCTCTTTGCCCTTGCTGATGCCTTGCATCAACTTGCTCTTTGGGAATGTGACACCCCCACCTCCCCCATGAACATCTTGGTTTCTATCCTTGAGAAAACGAAAGGTTGGACCTTTTCACAAAGATGGCGCCCCAAAGCACGGAAGGAAGCCTCTGCCCCTTCCAAACTTGAAGCCCCAGCCTTGATGACCAAGGAAACGGGGCTGAAAGGTGTCCTTAGCCACACACACAAAGATCTATATGCCACGCATCTTCCCAGGGCCCAAGGCACTTTGGCTCCTTGGAAGAGCACCCCCAGGAGAAACAAACTTGGCCACTCTGCCATCATCAAGTTCCCCTGACCACCGAGCCAGTCGGGAAGAAGGCAGAAGACGACAGCACACTTGTGTTCATGTGGACATCAGGGTCAACAAACACCAGAGCCAACAGGCTGTGAAGAGGCTCTATGACACTGACGTGGTCAAGGTCAACACCCTGACCGGACCTGATGGAGATGAGGCATATATTGAGCTGACTTCTCCCTAGGATGCTCTGGATGTTGCCAACAAAATTGGGATCATCTCAACTGAGTCCAGCTGGCTAATTCTATATATAAATGTTTTCACAAAAAAAAGGAAAGAAAAAGAAGAAACATGAGTTTGGACAAATATGTAAATTCCCTCCTGGCCTTCGTCTTCCATTGCGTGTCTCAGTTCCCCTGTCAGAACACAGACTGAGAGTCATAAGAAAGGGTTCCAGAGTTGGGGTAGGGATTTGAACCTCGATTCCTGGACATTGATGCCCTTGGCAAATTGCAATTTAGATCTGGAGAATTTTATAGCTGAGGGTGAAGAGAAAGGACTTTTTTTCCCGCCAGCGAGAATCACAGAATGCGATTCACCAGCAGGACTCCCAGCATTCTAGGCGGGCGCTGTCCCAGACAGTAGCCACTGGCCCCACATGGCCTTCACCAGCAGTTACAATTAAATAAAATTGAAACTCCACTCACAGCAGCCACATTTCAAGATGTCTCCCGCCTATAACACACCATGTCCACACTTCTGCAGGGAGGCCCTACTAGACCAACCTATCGCTTGGAAGGAAACTGAGACTCCAACAGGGGCCTTGACCTGGCCAGGCGAATTCCTGGCAGGTCTGGGCCTAGAACAAAGGTACCCCACTCCCCCTGGACTCGGGGCCCCTGTCTCTCGGGGCTCCCACCTTCAAGGCGCGGGCCCAGCTTTGTTGGGCAGGCAGCGGGGCTGCTCCCGGGGGATGTTTGCGACCGAGCAGAGCTCCAGATGCTGCACATTCCTGATGGGGTCAGACCTGCCCCGCGGCACTCGGGGAATCAGCTCCTCCGAAGCTCCCTTTCCCGAGCTGCCCCCTCCCGCGCAGCCCTGGGGCCGCGGGTGCAGGCGCTCTGGGCGCCCTGGGGTCGCCCGGGGGAGCACGCTCAAGGGGGGCCTGGATTCCCTCCCTGCAGGAGAGGTGCTGCTCCCCAGGAGGCGCTGGAGACGCGCAGGAAATTGCACCCCGTGCATCTTCCCAGGTCTCCAAGTCCAGCACGAGGGGCAGCTGAAACCGGGGTTCTGCCGGCCCAACGCTGGGGCGGCGTTTGGCGGGAACCGGCTCAGTCTTCACCTGCAGCCCTGCGGGGGTGGGGGGGCAGGATGGGGGGGCCGCGAGAGGGGCGCCCGGGGGCGCGGGCAGGGGTGAGAGGCCAGGGGAGGGGGCGCCCGGGAGCGCCCTGACCTCGCCGGCTGCGGGGAGGCGGCGGGGATGGGGGTTGGGGGAGAAGAGGGGGGCCCGGCAGCCAATGGGAGGGAGGATCTCGTTTCAAAAGGGTTAACCCACAGCCAATGGGCGCCTGGGGGAGCGGATCCTGCTCACTCCATTCAAGAATCCCAAGTATTCAAGATGGACGGCAGGGAGTGTGGAAGGAGAAAGGGGGCGAGGGGAGCGCGAGATCGGCCGGGCCGGGGCGCGGCGGCCGGCGGAGAGGCCGCGGGCCGGGCCGGGGGCGCGGGGCGCGGGGGGCGCGCGCGGGGCGCGGGGCGCGGGGCCGGGGAGGGGGCCGGCGGGCGGGGAGCGCAGGGCAGAGAAAGAGCCGGGACGCGGAGGTGCGGGCGGAGGAGCGTGTCGAGGAGCGCCGTAGGTATCGGGGCGCGGGGGGGTCCCGCGGCCGGCGCTCGGTTCCCTCCTGGGGGGCGGGGGTCCGGCTCTTTCTCTCGCCTCCCGCTCCCCGCGCCACCCGCGGGCATCTCTGTCCTTTTTTCCTTTGGAAACAACTAGCGGGGGCGCCCGGGGCCGTCCTGCGGGGGCGCCCCACTGTCACGCCCGGGGGGTGTGGCGGGCAGGGGTGGGCCGGGCGCGCGGGGCGCGTGGGGCGCGGGCCGGCGGGAGCCGGGCGGGGACTTCTGCGCCTGGAGAAGTTGCGGGGTGAGCCGCGGGGCCGCGCGGGGGGGCGCGGCCCGCTCGGGAGCTGAGTTTCGGGGTCCCGCGGCTGCGGGGAGCGGGGCGCGCGCTCGGGCCGCTCCTGGGGGGGCGCGGGGCGGGCGGCGGGGCGGGGAGTTCGCGGGCGCGTGTGTGGTCCCGCGCGAGGGGGTGCGGGGCGCGGCCGGGGCCGGGGAGGGCGCCCCGCGCCCCCGCGCGGCCCCTGCCCCTCTCGGCTCATTCACAGAACTTGGCTTCCAGGACCCCCCTCTCGCCTCCCCCCGTCGCCATGGCTGCGGGCGGGGGGAGGAGACCGCGGGGCCGGCCGGGCCCTGCCGCTCCCGCTAACCCTCCACCTGCCCTTTCTCTCCCTCCCGCAGGCTGGGCCCCTTCCCCCGCTGCTCTGGGGGGCAGGGGCCGGAAGATGGTGGCCAATGAGGAGGGGGAGTGGAGAGAACTTGAGCCGCGGCCTCCCCTCCCCCATTTCCTCCTCGGCCTCGACACCCGCCTCTGGAAGGAGCGGGGGCGGCTCCGGGGCCCGCGGTGGGGGAGGGGCCCGCGCGCGGGTGAATGGCGGGGCCGGCCCTGGAAGGAGTTGGGTGTGCGAGGGCCGAGGGGGATCTTGGCCCCAGCCCCCTCTCTCCCGCATCTCCCCAGAGAAATCCGGGAACTCCTTGGTGGAGACGCTTCCCCTGGCCTCCCCGAGCTTGCAGGGCAGTCCTGCCTGGGGCCTACCACCCCCCCTGGCACGGCCAAGTTCCCAGCTGGGGGCTGGTTGGCCAGGCCTGGAGCAGAGGGCTGGTGGGTGACCCTAGCGGGGCCTTGGTTTCCGTCCTTTAGAGCCATGCAAACTGTGGGACAGGGGCCCGGTGTTTGCAGATGACAGGAACCAACTCTGCAGAGAAGGCGGGACAGAACCTCCACTGCTTCCTGAGGGGGGTGGGAGGAGGCTGGAGGGGACGCCCGGAGGAAGAGCTCCCCACTGGAATTCTGTCCTCCATTTCTCCTGCTGACCTGGTGGGGAGTTGGGCATGAAGCTGCTGCCCGGCCTGGAGCCAACGTCCATCAGTGCAGGGCAGACTCACCCCACAGCCTCTGCGCCTCGGGACTGCACACAGTTCAACAGGTCAGGACTGGCTCTGGGCTCCAGAGGCCACAGCTCTGACCAGGAATGTGCGGTGGGGAGCTTTGGCTGTCCAGGTGACTGTCCAGGCGGTCCCCTGGTTTGGAAGTTGTAATGAGTCTCAATTATTTGTTCAGGGTGCAAGCCCCTTAGAATAGGACAGCATGGGGGAGTTGTAGGGGAGCCTAAAGGCTCCCTGATAGGAATCCTGGGCCAAATGCATGTAATTTAGGTTCTAATCCCACTGCCCAGAGCTTGTGCCTGAGGCTCAGCATAGGATCTCATGGTTTGTTTAATGCTGGACCCATAATGTGGTTTTTGAAGACCTCCAAGAGGAGATGGCGCTTCCATCTCTAGACCTGGAAGTTTCTCTGTGCTGCCCGGTACCTGCAACCCTCTGGTTCAGGGTTGGGGGTGGGGGTTCCTCTGAGGCTGTTGCTCTTGAAGCCTAAAACACTCACCCCCTCCCCTTTATTTGAACTGGAAAGGAAAGAGTTTCAGCATAAGGAAGCGTAGAAGGTTCTATGGCCCTGGTCTGGAGGCAAGTTCCTGTCCCCCAAGGTAGAGACACAAATCCAGATAAACACAGCTTCACGTGAGTGTCCCCTAAACGGGGGGATTTCTACGGGTCCCATCCTGTGAAGCCTGAATGCCACCTGCAAGATGTCCCTCAGCTGAACCTCCTGCAGACTCTACACCACCCCTACCTTGAGACAAAGGTCTGCCAGGAAGCGCGTAAGGAAGAAGCAAGATGAGGACGGAGAGGCACAGGACATTTAACACAGACCACAGGGAGGAAAGCTGTGCTGAAAGACAGGGAAGGGCAGCTGGAGGCCAAGAGAGCTGAGTGGGCCGGGGACTGGGAAAGGGGCGAGGAGGAGGCAGGGCCGGTGCCCCAACTGCTGGCCGGCGCTCTTTTCACATTGTGCTACTGTCTGCACCTATCACTAGCAGTGCAATGTTAAAAGGGCATCGGCCGGGTAGTGCTACCCAGCGCTGGCTGCCTCCTCAGCACCGAGACCTCTCCCATCTGGGCACCAATCAGCTACCCTGGTGGGGGATTTGGGAAGCCTCACCCTTTCTTAGCTAATCATACAAATCCCTTGATGGAAGCACTTCCACCTGCAGTGCATGTGCTCAACACAGCGCACATGTGAACCCAGTAACTTCTTGACTAGGAACATCCTTGTTTTACAGATGGAGAAACTGAGAGAACGGTCTAAGCAGTATGGCTACCGTTAGACCACTCTTAATCTTGCAGGGCCTACATGTAATCCTGTCCTGTCCTGCCCCGCCTGACACCTGCCCAGATTTCTGTAGATCTAGCTGGAGAGGTTAGTGCCCTCACCTGGGAGATTTCCTGAGCTGAGGGGTGGAGGGTTTGGATGCCATCTGCTGGTGGTAGGAGGGTAGCTTCCAAAGTCCCAAGTCTTGAAGGATAAAAGCTGTGCCTGATTGGCTAAGAAGGAAGTTTCCAGGATTGTAGGGCAGGTGAAGATTGGGAGAAGCAACTGCTCTTACCAGAGTAGAAGAAAAGGTGGCTGCGAGGGAAAGGAAAAAAAGGGGTTAAAACCTGAAAGGACTGTCCCTGGTGTTCCGTGCCTGAAACTCCTTGGCTCCTGGGGCAGAGGCCAGAGTGGAGACCTCAGTCCTCCATGTCGACCTGCAGTTCTCAGCCGTGCCCCTCTTAGCCATAGAGCATCTGATGATTCTTCTGGAGGCTACACCTGTCCAGGCTTCCATGATCTGGGCAGCACCGCCCATAGCCTGATCTTAGGGATTAAATAGGACCCTCGATCCAAGTCCACAGTGATTCTTCCAGAAGTTACTGGGACTCGAGCAGTGACCTTGCCATTTACATTTTTCCCATCATGCCTAGCTGACCTAATGAGAATTTGTTAAAGTCACTTGAGAGAGGGGCATCTTTAGGGGCTGGAAGCAGACAGCTCATTTGTTCCTGACTTTCAGGGTCACAGCTTAAGGCGTGAGAGGGCTTTTTGTGCTTTGGGGCAAGATGTGGGATCGAGAAGGACAGGGTTTCTGGGTCCCTTGCCGTGCATGGCCTGAGAGGATATCTAGATCCCTGAAAGGTGGCACAGACCCCATCCCTGTGGCCGCTCATGGGGTGCTGGACATTCCTTCATGGCTTGCATTGACCTCTCCCACCCTTCCGTCCTGACGGCCTGGTCGTAGGAGGTTGACAATGAGTATTCGAGATGGTGCAGTTTTAAGTTCTTTCCTTTCTTTGGTCTGAACATTTCTATTGGAGCCTTTCTGGGCACAAAACAGCCATTTGGGGATGCTGCTCCACTCTTGTTAAAAAATTAGAACTTTGCAGTTTCCCCAGTACCCCAGGGATGAAATCCAGATTCCCCAAATTCTTTCTGGTCCCTGTCTTGCCTGTCATGGCTCTTGCACTTACTTCCTGGGTATTTCCTCAAGTTAAGCAAGCTTGATGCACCTGAAACAGGCTGCTGCACTCCTCTGCCTGAAATGCTCCCGTCCCTCCGCTCTTCTCCCTTGTGCACCCAAGCTTTAGGTGCCATCGCCGCCTCTGTGAAGCTTCTCTCCTTGATTCCTCAGTCTAGGCTAAACCTCTTCCAGCTCCTGAACTTATTCTCCATCCTTCCCAGAGCCCAGTCACCACCTGCTGGAATTGTTACTGTTTGTTCTCCCTCCAGGAAGAGGGAGGCCATGGAGTCCAGCCTTGGCTGCCTGGCTCTCCTTTGCATCCTGGGCACTTACCACCACACCAGAAAGGGAACAGGTGTCCTGCAGATTGTCGCAGTATCAGCGACTGAATCTGGAAACAAGTTAGCTTACGAAAGGGTGATTTTGATGTGTGCAGCCCTCCCTGCAGTTGTGGTGACTCACCCACCAATAGGCATTTCACATCACTGCCCCCAGAATGCACTTGGGTGGTGGTGCTGGGATGCTGTGTGCTTTTCTATCAACTGCCAGGGCAGCACCTTGGTTCATCGGTTTTGCTTTTAGCCTTAAGTGTGGCCATGAACTAACCCAAACAACAGAACCAGGCTGAAAAGCAGTGGGGCCCAAGAAAACCCTTGTTCTTGTTCCGGGATGAGCTTCTTCCAAGGGCCCAGTCCTGGGGATGCAGACAAAACTGGATTCATCGTCAAGGACTTGGGGAGAGGTGACCTGTTTTGGATGCACCAGTTGGTACGCCACTCTCATAACCATCCCTCTTACTGAGCCAAACTTCAACTGAGCCACACCACCCTCTGGTGACAGCTCAGGTAGGGTCTTCCTGCACACAAAGCAATTGCTGCCCTCTGGCGGCAGGAGGGGGTGCTGCCGGGTGTGTGACGGGTGGTGCAGGACACGCAGAGGCAGGGAAGTCAGGACAGCACCTCACGGTTGCTTTCCCCCTTTTTATTAAAAATAGACCCAAACACTTTATGTATCATACAAAAGTTTCGTTCGCTGGTGGCAGCCACGAGGAAGCCTGGCCCCGTAGCGCTGATTCCCCACTCACTCCCCTCCCAGGGACAGGGTCCCGAGGAGCGTTGGCTGAGCCGGGGAGAATGCCCCCAGATTCCGCTCGCCGGCGCTGCCCGCCAGGTGGGGGCAGACCCCGGAGCAGCTCTCCCCACCCATCCAGTGGCAAAGGTTAGATACTCGAAAGTGCCTCTTCAGTGCCAAGACAAACAAGTGGAGTGAAATGGAACCCCCTGTGATACTTTTATTCTTTCCCAGGGCCTGGGATTTGAGCCTCTTCCACCCCCGAGTCCCTTCTACAGATGGGGGTGGGGCACCTCACCCTCAGAGACTGGTATTTCCCGGTGTCGGAGGCCAAGATTTCACTCCGACCCAAGCCTCTTCTCATCTGCTATTCTGTGGCCTGCCGTCTACCGGCCCATGACTCAAGGCTTGTCCTCTGTTCACGCAGAAAGAGGTGGAGCTGATTCCTCCCACAGCCTCTCCATCTGAGTCAGGCTCTGCTCTCGCCTCAATTTTCCAGAACTTGGAGCTACAAGGACCCACATCCATCCCTTTCCCCCAGTTCTGTCTCCCTGACTGCTGCCCACTCCGGAGCCTTGGGTACCCCTGGGGGCCCCAGACCCCTGTGCCAAAGGGGTCTGAGTGATGAGGTGGAGGCAGGGGAGGGGTTGGTTGGAGCAGGGTTCCCCCAGGGGTGGGCCAGAACTCATGCTGGTATGGGCGGCTTGGCAGGGCCAGGGCACAGGTGTGGGGAGGGTGGGGCATGCGGAGGAAGGGCGCAGCCTGCCTGACCCCTCAGTCCCAGCCGTTGTCCTTCACCATGTGTGACATTTCAATGATGTACTTCCCCTCCTTGTACTTCTGGCTTGTCTCAAAGGCTTGTTCCTGGTGGAGGGGAAGCAGTGAGGAGAGGACCATGTTCCCCGCCAGGTCCTCCTACCACCTGCACTGCCCCTGCCCCCCGCCCCCCAGGCCAATTCCAGCCCAGCTACTAGCTCTCCGCTCTGGGACCTGCAAAGGTCTGGCGTGGTCACTGGGGCTGGGAGGCCATGGAGACCCCCACTGTATGGGGTGGCTCGTCCCAGGTACTTACATATTTCCAGCCCAGCGTGGTTTTGCAGCTCTCGCAGAAAATGTCAGCTACAGAGTGGAGCCCCGTGAGCAGGAGGCGCTGTTCGGCCGGCCCACAGCCCACGTTGACCCTGTCTCGGGAAACAGGACCACGTAGGGTTGCTCTGTGAGTCGAGCCCCCAGACAGCCCATTGGAGAGTGTAACCCGCCCAGAGGCCCCTGTGCTCAGCAGGCCTCCTGTCTAGGACCAGTGCTGGGCCTTCTTTCTCCAAAGTGACAATTTTAGTTCTGCCCAGGTTCCCCGCCAGGGAACTGGGTTTCTGACCCCTTTGCCAAGGAGAGGCACAAGCCAAAGGCGCAAGGCCGCCTTCCCAGGGTTCACCCCCTTTTTCCACCGAGGGAGGTGATTTGCATGCACACACACACACGCATGGGGGGAGAGCAGACTCACACGGAGTTAAACAGGTAGGCTCGGCCATGGCTCCCTTGGAAAGACTGTGGAGACACAGGACAGACAGTGACTACTGGGCTGCCCTGCCCACTGCCTGAATCCCCCAGGGGCATGGAGGAAGGAGGACAGGCTTTGCCTCCCCACCAGGTGATGTGTGGGACGTCCTGGCGGGAGAGAGAAGAAAGGAGTGGCAGGCCCCCGCCTGGCCTACCTTGGAAATAAGCTCGTCGTGTTTGGCCAGGTGTGCCCGGCAGTGGACGCAGCTGTAGGTGCGGTGGCAGCGTGGCAGGTAGCTGCGGAACGTCTTGGTGGGGAGGCAGGCTGGGCCCGGGCCCGGGTCACAGCTCGGCATGACTGGCTGGAGGACGATGCCCTGGCGGGCCGGAGGGGCTGGCGCCGTGCAGCCCCCACACAGACGGTCGCAGGTGAAGCAGCGGAGCAGGTTGGCTAGAGCCGTGTTTTAGGGCAGGAGAAATGTGGGGGGGCTGCCCGGCCAGGGCCCCCCCAGACGTGAACCAGATAGAAATGGAAGTCACCTGGGGAGGGGGGAAGGTGCATCAGGAGGGCTGCCACTTCCTGACGGCATGGAGAGGATGGGGCTTAGCTCACCCCACCCCTGCTTCCCCGTCATCCCCAGCCAGGCCCTGCTCTCAGTGCGCAATCTCCTTGTCCCTTGGATACCCGTCTGCTCTGGCAAGCCTGGCAGCTGTTCCAGGCCTCCGGTGCCATAGCCTGGGAGGTGGTGTCTCGCCCTCCTGGGGCGGGAGCAGCCTCTGCCATTTTCCACTGAGAGCATCCCGCTGGCACAGACGCTGCCATGGGAGCAAAGTCATCTGCAGGTGCTCTCCTGGCTTCCCAGGTCTTTGGTCTCGGTCTGCATCCCACATGCACCGGCTCAAAGCCTTTGAAAAGTTGGCAATGCCTGGTGGGTTTTCTTTTTCCTGGCCTCCCTTGGCAATGACAATGGTCTACACATTTTATAGGGGAGAGGGGTGTTACAGGAGAGGGCAGAAGGGTGGGCAGGCACATTCCCCCTGCTCCGACCCTCTGCTGGGGCCTCCGGAAAGTAGAACTTCCTGGGTGTCTCCTTTGGAACCAAAGACCTCCGACGGGCAGGCTCTTGCCCAGACCCGCACCTCCATCCATCTCTGGTCCAGAAGTGGTGCCTGCTGTTCTCCACTAACTTGTTTCGGCCCTCGGTGAGGACCTGGACACCCAGCACGAGAGAACGCCTCTTTCCTCAGGCAAGCCTGACAAGTGGAGCCAGTGGGAATCGGGGTGCAGTGGGGAGGCCGCCACTCCAGGGCTGGGCAGGACTGCCTGGGTGATGGAGTGTGGGAGCAGCAGAAGTCGGGGGACCATCATTTCCAAAAGCTGTGCTTTGGGGCACAAGGCAGCACAGGTCTCTTCCCACCTCCCAGGGGCAGGGACCCTGCAGGTGGCAGAAGATAAAATAATTGCTGGGTTATGATTAGGAATCTTGAGGAAGCTGTTGGTATCTGTCCAAACTCCAGCCCCAAAGTGACTGAGGGCTCTGGGGCTGCAGATAAGAAGGGAGACGTCCTCTGCTGGCTCTGATAGGCAGGTGGGGTGCTGCCTGCTCCTTGGGGCTTTCTGGCCCGTTGTGGGTGGCGTGGCCCAAGTCTTGTGCAGCTACTTGGGCAACGCGGACCACCAAGCAGGTCAGGGGCAGGGTGGCTCCGGTAGCCAGGTTGCGCTGGGTCTGGTCCCATCCTCCGTGATGGACACACGGGACTGTTCTAGTCTTAACTGGGGCCGGACAGGCAGTCTGTCCACAAACCCCACCCCCCTGCGAGACCATCTTCAGTTTCAATCCTCATCTCGGGCTGGGTCCAGGAAAGACACCTTGGGCTGAGACCAGGGTGACATTGGGCTCTGGTGGCAGGACACGGGTCCTCCTCAGTGTCCACTTCTCATGTCGGCTTCCAACTTTGCCTGCAAGTTCCCCTCAGACCGGTCCACCTGGCACCCCTGACTCAAGCGCCCCCCAGGAGGGGGCCAGCCTGGGGCCCTGGGCCCTGCTTTATGCTCCTTCCCCAGCCTCCGTCACGCCTCCCTCCCTCTCCCCTGCTTTCCCATCCAAGCGAGGAGAGGCTGCACCAGGCCGGAGGATCACTCACAGAAGGGGGAGCAGGGGTCACTTCTTCCCCGGCCCTGATCTGATGGCAGGCCGAAGCGAGTTGGGCAAACGACTGGGGGATAAACAAAGGCGAGCTGAGTGCAGGAGAGGATGTCCCCCGTGTGAGCTGGGGCTGGACCGTGGGAGGTGGGGGAGAGGGGGGGCTGAGAGGGGAGGCTGAGCCGCCGGCACTGACAGCAGCGGCGCCCAGGCGGCGGCTCGGGGAACCAGGTGCGAAAGCCTCGCCTCTCGGGGACGGGGGAGCGGAGCGAGGGGGCCACCTGCTTGCAATGGATTTTCTCGTCTGCTCTGAAGCTTCGGCCCCCCCTGGGCTGGCATTCTCCGTATGGTATGGTCCAAATAAGGAGCCGTGCAGCCAGCTTCCAGGGCGGGCTTTGGGGGTCTGCACCAGCCGAAAAACAATAAACAGCGATGCCTGAGGCCGCAGCCAAAGTTGCCGGGAATTAAGTGCGGGAACCGTCAGAGCTCGGAGAGGGATGGAGGAGCCGAGAGAGGAGCGGAGGCAGCGGGAGGGGGAAGGGAGGACAAAGGGCGGATGAATAATGCTTTTGCAAAGGGGAGAAAGCCACACGCAGCAGGAGGAGGAAATTTGCAAAGGGGAAAAAAATTCATTTGGAGAAGGGCTGCCCCCTCACCTTGAGGTCTGCTCCAGAGATCTCCGTCTATCTCTCTCTCTCTCAATCTCAATCTCTCTGCTCACTCTTCGCTCTTCTCTCCGCTCCTTCAATGGGGAAGGGGATGGGGCCAGGGGAGGGGAGTTCGGGGCTCAAGACGGGGCTGCCAAGCTGGCCAGCTGCTGGGGGGCCAGAGGTTGTCTCTCGTCTGTACCTCGGTCTGTGGGTGAATGTAGCTGTGTGTTGTGGAACTGCATCATAACACTGTGAGTCATCCATCCCCCCACCCCCCTCACCTCCCACGTCAGAGCAGGGCTGGGAGACACAGGAGGCGGGTCGGGAGGAAGGGTGGGGGCCGGTTTCAAGGGAGGGGGTTGGGGGAGTGATGCAGGGAGGTGGGAGCACAGGGGTGGAGGGGTGGTGGCAGGTCCTGGAAGAGAGGCTGGCTGCCCAGGGTGAAGACAGTGTGGCTAAGGAGATAGGACCTGGGGGAAGGAGAGGGCTGGGCAAGGATGGACGAGGGTGGCAGGGCTGGAGGCCAGGAGGTGGCCGGGCTGGTGACCCGGAGAGATGGATGCAGAGTCAGGTGCATGCACACACCTTCAAGATGCTACGCGTCAACTCGGGGGCCAGTCTTGACGCAGGGCAAAGACACGCTAATTGTCACAAAGGACAAATAGTGGCCTCACGCTTGTACTGGGCACTTGGAAACCTCAAAACCCCAGCTTGATATTCCCCCAAGGGAGCCCTAAACCAAGTGAGACACCTCCCTTTTCGGGAACCTCTTCTCATCTACCTCCCAATTGCTGTGCTTCATGAACAGAGACCGTTACATAAGGTTCCTACTGGGCTATAAACTTTCTGAGGCAGGTCTTCGGAGAAGCTGCTCTCTGCACCCCAGGACTGCAATGCCTAGCGCAGAGCAGTCCTCCAGGAGATGCTCACCAAACAGCAGCTGAGTGGATTTCTTCAGGCAGGGTGCAGGTGTCTGTCGATGGTCTGGGAGACCTAAGCTGGGGTCCCAGCTGTGCCAATAGATTCACCAGCCAGCACAGGCCAGGGATGGATCCTCTTTGGGCCCCACTTTTCTCTTCTGCTGAAGGAAGCAAATAATATTTTTACATGAAGTGAAGTGAGATAACTGTGCAAACACCTGAAAAGTGCCTGGCAGTTGATAGGCAGTTAGTAAACATTAGTTACTATTTGATCCCCAGCCAGGGAGGTGACCCACATGCCACAGCAGACCTCTTCTGTGTATTTCAGTAGATCCTGGTGAATCTCTGGTGAATCCTCTCACCACCCCTCCACCCCCCAAACTCTGGCCTACACCTGAGTTCTTGCATGCATAAATAAAAAAAAATCTTAAAAAAAAAAGAAATGGCTATCCAATATCTAGTTCAAGATGACCTTCAGATAACTGGGAGAGAATGTCTCAAGGGAAAAAATGTAGCAGTGAAGAGACATATCAGGAAGATGGGCAAATGGAAACAGGAGAGGATGTAAATGTTCTCAGTCAGGGAGAACATTTACAAATGCAAGACTGGAAATGAAGTTTTGAAGAATGGTGAGAAATTAAGGAACACATCATAGTTAGTTAGAGAACTAACGCATGCATGGTGAATGAATGAAATAATGAAATCACCAAAGAAAATGGAGATGTGCAGATCCCCTTGCCTAGAAAAGTGACTGCTAAGGAGGAGAGGACAGTGAGGAACGATAACCCAGAAAATCCTCCCTGGTTTCTCAATCTGGATTAACAATGTGAGCTGGACAGAGAAAAGGATTTACTCTGAAGAAGGGATGATGGCAATTATGGTATATACATCACAGAATTAGGAGTAAATTAATTTATACCTGCAAAGCCCATAGAACACTGAGTAAGAGTTTGCTATTACAACATTACAATACAGTAACTGGACTCAGACGCCAACATCCTGGGTTTGAATGCGAGCCTGGGCAAGTCTCTTCACTTATCTTAATATCCACCCTCATCTGAAATTGGAGATAATAAAACTGACTTTACAGGGTAGGTAGCTGTAACAGAAGATCCCTGGGAGGGCTTTGAAAAATGCAAAACACCGTCCAAGTGGACATAATTCCAGCTCCTCCTCCTCCAACTCTAATAAAAACCTAAAAGCTGCCATCAGATGGTTTTGTGTCACAGGCCTTGTGCTTAGCCCTTTACATTTATCACCCCAGTCAACCTTCAAAACAACTTTAAGGGGCTGGGTACTGTTATTATCCCGATTTTACAGACAAGAAACTGGGTCTCAGAGAGTTTAAACCAATGATTTGCGCAAAGTCACACAGTGAGCAAGCGGCACAGCAAGAACGCAAGACCCTAAAGCCCAGACTGGGGGAGATGACAGACCTGTTGCCCGCAGGGTAAATGACTGACCTTGCGTAATGGCCAGGGCTTTAGGGAGGGAAAGAGTCCCCAACAAAACCCCCAGCCTAATAAGGGAGAAGTTGATGGACAACGACTAATTTCTAGAAACAGACTAAATAGAAGAAATTCGTGGGACTTTATGAAAAAATAATTTTTCTTAATGCCCTCTGGGTGGCAAGAACTGTGTCAGGCAGGAGAGACAGGCCGGTGGGACCCTCGCACTCCCCACCCCTCGGCCTCCCAGCGCCCGCGCAGGGCTTTGCTACGTTCCCCACTTCCCAGCTGCGGCCGGGGGCGCAGGGTCTCCAGCATCGTGGATCCAGGCGGCGAGCACCCCCCGCCCCGTTCCCACCGCTCTTCCCCGTCCTGGGCTTCGGGTGCGCGGGAGCCCCCGGGACCGCCGTTCCCTCGGCCGGTCCCCGCCCCGCGCGGGGGCGTCACCGCCACGCCCCCGACCCCTCCCGCGGACTTCGCGAACAATGACGGCCGCGCCCCTCCCACCTTCGGCGTCACGACCAAAACAATCCTGAACTACAACTCCCAGAAGGCCCAGCGGCTGCGCGAGCGCGCGGCGTCCCGACACCACTCCGTGACTCAGAGCGGCGCGCGGCCGCGGCGGCCCCACCGCGCATGTGCGGGCGCCTCGGCTTCCGGCGCGGCGCGGGGCTGCGGGGCGGGAGGCGTCGGGACCCGGCGGGCCGGCGCGTGGCGGGGCGGGTGAGGTGAGACGCTCGCGGCGCAACCGTCACCCCGTGGGGCCGGGCAGGCCTCGGTGTCTGGGGACGCTGCCGCGAATGCTGGACCTGGCGCTGCCGGTCCGGCTGAGGAAAGAATTCTTCACTGTCCCTCGGCGTTTTGTAGTTCACGGAGTGATTTTTTCCTCCTCTCGCAACACCCCGGTGAACCCCCAGAACCCGCCCGGTGTGGGGAGGGGTCGGTCCCCGCCGGCTGGCCGCCGAGGAGGGTCGGCCAGGGCGAGGGGATTGCTGTGGAGACGCTAGGGGTAGTTGCCGAGCCGGGCCTTCCTGCCCGGGTCGACTTGATTCTCTGCTCTGCGTCGGGATGGCAGGCAGCGGGCATCCGCTTCCCAAGTCCGGGGTACCCCGGGGGGTGTGAGGGGGCGGTAGTGGGAGGGGATCAAACTTGGCCACTGCAGGTAAGCGTTTTCTTCTTAAGTCTGAGCTATTTATTCACTTGGTGTATTTAATTTTTTAAGATTTGTTTTTATTTATGCATACAAGAACTGGGGTGCAGGCCAGAGGTGGGGGGTGAGAGGATTCACTAGAGACAGAGTGGGGAGCAGGACAGCGGATCCACTGAAATACACTGCTGAGGGGAGCAGCGGGCGAGTCAGGAGAGGTCTGCTGTGCCAGGTGGGTAGCTCCCTGGCCGGGGATCGAACTGGCGCTGCAGTGGCTGGCGATAGCTTGCTAGCCACGACTTTAACCCCAGGGGCCACCAGGGAGGCCCCTGGTGTATTTATTGAGGTGTCTACAGGTTGTCAAGCCCTATTCTAGGTCCTGGAGATAAAGCAAAAACGCCCAATCCTTACATTGTAGTGGGGGTAGACAGACAATAGTGGGATAAGTGATAGATAAGGAGAAACTTTAAGAGGACACATCCAGTGGGGAGTTTATTTTTTCTTTCTTGCATCTTAAAGGGACAGGTTTGGGCCTCCCTGGTGGCACAAGGTGTTAAGACACAACTTATGAAGCTGTCCACAGCCTCTGCAGCACGTGTTCCATCCCCAGCCACATTGGGCAGCAGACTTCTCCTGCCTAGCCCACTGCTCCTCAGCAGTGTATTTCAATCTGCCTGATCTGTTCCCCACTCTGTCTCTGGTGAATCCTCTCACCCCTACACCTCTGGCCTGTACCCCAGTTCTTTATGCATGAATAAATAAATCTTTAAAAAAAATAAAAGGGATAAGTTTGTTAGGAAAAAGGGATGCCTGCCTAGATGTGGATGGGCAGTGTTAGTACAAAATCTGCAAATGGGGAGTTCTTGAACAGGGAGTCCTGACTTACGTGGAGGTCTGACTTAATTTGTATTCTAGGCCCAACAGCTGCATAGGAAAGATGGGTGAGGAGGCCAATGATGACAAGAAGCCAACAACTAAATTTGAACTGGAGCGAGAAACTGAACTTCGCTTCGAGGTGGAGGCGTCTCAGTCAGTTCAGTTGGAGCTGCTGGCTGGCATGGCAGAAATCTTCGGCACAGAACTGACCCGAAACAAGAAATTCACCTTTGATGCTGGTGCCAAGGTGGCGGTTTTCACTTGGCATGGCTGTTCTGTACAGCTGAGTGGCCGCACTGAGGTGGCTTATGTCTCCAAGGACACGCCTATGTTGCTTTACCTCAATACTCATACAGCCTTGGAGCAGATGCGGAGGCAGGCGGAGAAGGAAGAAGAGCGAGGCCCCAGGGTGATGGTAGTGGGTCCCACGGATGTGGGCAAGTCCACCGTGTGCCGTCTGCTGCTCAACTATGCAGTGCGTTTGGGCCGCCGTCCCACTTACGTGGAGCTGGATGTGGGTCAGGGCTCTGTGTCCATCCCTGGGACCATGGGTGCGCTCTACATCGAGCGGCCGGCAGATGTTGAAGAGGGATTCTCAATCCAGGCCCCTCTGGTATATCATTTTGGCTCCACCACTCCTGGCACCAACATCAAGCTTTACAATAAGGTCAGAGCCAGCGTGGGATGGAGGAAAGGGTGGCTGTCAGGGTAGAAAGCTGTGTGGAAGTTTGCCTCGTTAAAGGTGTTGGCAGCTGTCTTTTGTGTCCCTCTCGGCTGTTGTCACTGCCATATGATTTCAGAAAAGGTGGCTTCAAATGTGCAGCTGCCTCTGATTGTTAGTCATTTCTCTGGCTCTGTTTTTAGTAATTTATTAAGTTTCCATTTAAGACCTGAAACAGGATGCAGAAGAAGCAACATAAAATAAGTCCATGTTATGGGGTCAAAAGCATAACCATTAAGATTGTCCTTTGGGTTTGTCTGTTTTTGTATTTTTGTCTGCTCACCCTGATGCTTTCTTCTACAGATTACATCTCGTTTAGCAGATGTGTTCAACCAAAGGTGCGAGGTGAACCGAAGGGCCTCTGTAAGTGGCTGTGTCATTAACACCTGTGGCTGGGTCAAGGGCTCTGGTTATCATGCCCTGGTGCATGCAGCTTCGGCTTTTGAGGTGGACGTGGTTGTGGTCCTGGATCAAGAACGTCTCTACAATGAACTGAAACGGGACCTGCCTCACTTTGTACGCACTGTGCTGCTCCCTAAATCAGGGGGGGTTGTTGAACGTTCCAAGGACTTCAGGAGGGAATGTCGGGATGAGCGTATTCGTGAGTATTTCTATGGATTCCGGGGTTGTTTCTATCCCCATGCCTTCAATGTCAAGTTTTCAGATGTGAAAATCTACAAAGTCGGGGCACCCACCATCCCAGACTCGTGTTTACCTTTGGGCATGTCTCAGGAGGATAATCAGCTCAAGCTAGTGCCTGTCACCCCTGGTCGAGATATGGTGCACCACCTGCTGAGTGTTAGCACTGCTGAGGGCACAGAGGAGAACCTTTCTGAGACCAGTGTGGCTGGCTTCATCGTGGTGACCAGTGTGGACCTGGAGCACCAGGTGTTCACCGTCCTCTCGCCAGCCCCCCGTCCACTGCCTAAGAACTTTCTTCTTATTATGGACATCCGGTTCATGGAT